ATGGGTAAAAAGTACTTTATTTATATTTTGATTTTCATAAAATTCACAACTAACTAAATTACCTAAAATTCAAAATCCTCACTGGCGACTGTGGAATTCACTTCCCATTCCGCTCCTATTTAAACCAACTTTCTTATTCTTTCTTTTCTTACTTCTTATTTCTTTCTAATATTTTATGTTATGTGTTATCTTTTATACGCTATCTTGTATGCTATTTTTTATACATGATCTTTTCTATATGCTATTTTATATACTATTTTATATGTTATCTTTTCTATCTTTCAAATATTACATCGTAAAGAAATAATTTATAATCCATCTTTTGTGGCTGTGTTATCTTTTTTTTTATCTTTTCTTTAAAATAACATAATCTTTCAAATATTATATCATAAAGAAATAATCCATCTTTTGTGGCTGTGCTATCTTTTTGTATCATCTTTCCATATTATCTTTTCATATTGTCCCATAATCTATCTTTTGTGGCTTATAGTTCCTCCTCCTAATTATTCCTGTTGATAAATTTGATAAACTGGTTGCTAAGCCGCATCGATCGACCCTCTGATTGATCTATTGGTTTGTCGTTAATCATTTAATAAACATTACATCATGTAGATCATTCCTTCTCCTAAACATTTATCCTTTCTGGCTAATTATTTATCCGATCATGTGACTTTCTATTCTATTAAGTTTGATATCCATGGTTACAACGGTTACTAATATCCATTTTTTTCTTTATTTTTTAGGTTCAGGTGGGCTTCCAAAGAATGAAAACTTAAAGATAAAAATTCGTAAGTATGAATCTTTATAATTTTTTTTTTGTTTTTTTTATTATGAACGGTTACTAATAACCATTTTTCTTTATTTTTTAGGTTAAGATGGACTTCCAAAGAACTGAAAAAGGAAAACCTTTAAGATTTGTAAGTAATATACTTATGAATCTTTTTTTTTAATGTTATGGAACCGTTACTAACCATTTTTTTTTTATTTTTTTTTATAGATTCAGATGGATTTCTGCCTTTCCAAAGAATGGAAAAAACTAAAGATTCAGTACGAATTTTTATTTTTTTTTATTTTTGTTTATTATTACGAACAGTTTCTAACCATTTTTTTCTTTTTTTTTTAGGTCAGTGTCTTCTGAAAAATGTAAAAACTAAGATTCGTAAGTACAAATTTTAGTTTTATTTTTCTTTTTTTTTATAATATTAACAAACTAATGGTTACTGATAACTGTTTTTATTTTATTTTTTTAGATTCAATGGACTTCCAAAGAACAATGGAAAACTAAGATTTGTAAGTAAGTATGAATCTTGGTTCTTTTTATTATTTATTATTTTTATTTTTTATTATTATAAATGGTTTACTAATAACCATTTTTCCTTTTTGTAGGTTTTGGGATCTTAGGAAAAAGTGGAATCAAGATTTGTAAGTACGAATCTTAGTTTTTTTTTTTAATATTATGAATTTGGTATAAATAAATTTAAAAATAAATTTAGTACAAATTTGCAACNATCATTTAATAAACATTACATCATGTAGATCATTCCTTCTCCTAAACATTTATCCTTTCTGGCTAATTATTTATCCGATCATGTGACTTTCTATTCTATTAAGTTTGATATCCATGGTTACAACGGTTACTAATATCCATTTTTTTCTTTATTTTTTAGGTTCAGGTGGGCTTCCAAAGAATGAAAACTTAAAGATAAAAATTCGTAAGTATGAATCTTTATAATTTTTTTTTTGTTTTTTTTATTATGAACGGTTACTAATAACCATTTTTCTTTATTTTTTAGGTTAAGATGGACTTCCAAAGAACTGAAAAAGGAAAACCTTTAAGATTTGTAAGTAATATACTTATGAATCTTTTTTTTTAATGTTATGGAACCGTTACTAACCATTTTTTTTTTATTTTTTTTTATAGATTCAGATGGATTTCTGCCTTTCCAAAGAATGGAAAAAACTAAAGATTCAGTACGAATTTTTATTTTTTTTTATTTTTGTTTATTATTACGAACAGTTTCTAACCATTTTTTTCTTTTTTTTTTACTTGTGTGGGTTTTGATAAACAGAAAAAAACTAAAGATTCATAAGTAGAATCTTGGGTTTTTTTACTTTTTTTTAATATTATGGAATGGTTACTAACTGTTCTTTTTTTTATAGTTTCGATAAGTTTTCAAAAGATCAAAATTTGTAAGTATATATGAATACATGAATTATGTGATTGTGGAATTGTAGATTAGTAATATTTATTTGTAATATGCATTTATAAATAAAGTTGTGATTTTATTGTAAATATCAAATAAAATGAATTGAATATTAGTAATTTGGTATAAATAAATGTAAATTGAAATTTTGTATGAATTTGCAACATAAATTAAGTAATATTTGGAAAACTATTCACCAAAATTTGCTATCTGAAATTGTTCTGAATGTTAACTGAATTTTGGCCAAAATTTCAAGTTGAACTTTAGGTGAGTGGCAGCGAACTGCAGCCAAAAAATTGGCTAAAGTTCGACCAGCATTAGACCATAAATCAGTCTAAAATCGGCTAGCTGAATTTTGGCAGATTTAGACTATTTTGACCAGTGACTTTTACTACTTTCACTAGAACTTTTACTATTATTATAATTAGATAAATTTTCTTTATTTGAACTTTTTATTTTATTTTATTTTTTAACTTATTTTCTTTTAATACTTTTCATTATATATAACTTTTTTTTACTCTTTTGTTTATAATCAAATTTATCTAATTTACTTTCAGTTCTTTAATTTCTCTTTTAATATTTATAGGATATTTGATTTAAATAAAATAGTGTTATATTCTGGAGTAAAATAAAAATTTATTTTTAGGAAAAAGAAAGATTAATATATGATTTTACATCATATAGAGTGATTTTGTAATTGTATGTAATCTAAGGTTGCTGGAGAAACTAGGAGGTTTTGGTAAGTTGGCAAAATGCTGAAATGGCGAAACTTTGCTGAAACTATATGAAAGTCTTATTAAAAAGTTGGCAAAATTCTGAAGAAAGGCAAAACTTGACGAAACCTATTATAAATGCTGAAACTGCTGAAACCTTGCTGAAACTATAATAAAACTATAGTAAAATTTTGGAGAGGTTTAAGCAGGCAACCTTAATGTAATTAGCTTTATTTGATAATAATACTTTATTTATTTATGAAATAAATCATTGCCAGAATCTGGCATATATAAAAATTGTGAATATATTGCCTTTATATGATACTAAAAATTATGTAGAATATACAGTAACATGAAAGCAATTTGCTTGATGTTAATTATTAAAAAAATTCAAAAATAAATCTATTGTTTTTTTGATAATAAATTTCTTGAATTCTTAAAGAAAGATTATCAAATGATGGCTTTAATTAGTTTTTTGAATTGCAATTTTGAGTCTTTGAATTTATACTAGTGATTGAAATTGTTTATTATTTGATTGCTTGAAAGATTAAAAAGATTCCCTATGGGAATAATAAGACAATTGAAAGTGGCATTAATATCATTGTTGTGTAGCAAGTTTCCTAAATTCAAAGAGCCTATAGTGAGTATTTTACTTTGCATTTTGCTCGTTCACATATACTGTAAGTATAACTTTTGGCATATTGCCTAGAAAGTAGCTAGCCAAATTTGTATTGCAACCCAGCTGAAAATAATGTAATTAATTGCTTAAAATTGGGAGAATCAAAAAATTTTTATATTACAGTCAGACCTCTATAATTGCACTCTCCATAATTGCATCCATTATGTATGCCTTTTCTAAATGCACCCTCTAGTTTGATCCTAAGCTTATATGATCTCTAATTATTTTACCTCTATAAATGCACACCCTCTTTAAATGCACTATTTTAAAAATTATGCATATGGTCCCAAGGGGTGTACAATTATGATGGAGGTCTGACTGTATATGATTAGTTAAAAACTTTTTTCTTTAGCAACGCTGGATTCCAGCCTTTAAAAATGCTATATTATTTAATTACAAGAAGTATACTGATCAATGATCATAAAGTTAATATTTTTTATTAAATATTATTTATTTGCTGGTAAATAATTTGTTTTAAAAGGTATAAATAACAGGCTGTTCTAACTTATTGTACCATATTTTGCTTATATTGAACGGTATATCTAATTTTGAATGGTGGATACTTTTAGAATGTCAGTTTCTTTCATTACTAATTTCGTAAGTTCCTGCCTGCTGCTCTTATCTAAATTTCCTTAATTAATTGCAAAATAATGCTGAGCGTTACACTTAATTATATATAAAATGTCCCGCAGATCATTCTTTCCTATTGCGAATTAAAATTACATTGCTCAATTTAACAATCACAAATGAGAATTTAGCATTAATGATTGTTAGGACATATATAAAATTTTTAGAAAATATCGTTATATCAAAGTTATACCGATATTTATATGTCCTCACATATAGTGGGAAAATAAAATAAATTTTATCGGTATATCAAGTTTTTAATAGTATATCGGTATATCGAATATCGGTAATTTCCATATCGCCGGGAAAATGAAATAGAAAATGTTCCATAAAAACGAAATGTGTTAAATTTGTTGTTTATGTGTAATAAGTGTCTAAAAAAGCACCATTTTGTTTAATTTTCATTTTTTTGTAATAAGACATAAATTGGACAAAATGGTGCTTTTTTAGACACTTATTACACATAAACAACAAATTTAACACATTTCGTTTTTATAAGGATGTAGACGGGATAAAAATTAACTTTATTAAAGAAATATCGGACTTTAACCTTTTTGGTGGTATCATCTTGACCCCTTATTGTAAAATATATTATGCGGAGTCAAGAACGACATTTGCAAAAGAAACAAAGGAAATAAATTTGTACATTATAGTTTGGTAAAATGTAATAAATGCCCACAAATTCCGGGCATAAAAAATTCTGGATAAATAGTATTATTACAAGAAAAATTTAGAACACTTTTACCTTTGTCTTTTTTTTCGTCCATCCAGAAAAAAATGAGAATATTATTTGCTCAGTTGTGTAAATTATACACTGTTTTTTTGGTTGTAAATGCAACTATACTAGTTTTAGGAGCACCTCTAAATAATGGGACTAGTATGATTCCATTGACTCCCTTACAAAAGCGACTCACAATTCCCGTTTGTCCCGACCATCACCCTATTTACGTTGAATCTGAGTGTGAGTCAATGTACTCAATTCTTATTACTTGCAATACTGGTACAAATCCACCTGATACTGATTTTATTTCTTATCCATGTCAACCACACGAAACTTGCATTCAAACATACCGATACAGGTAAATAGCCTGGTTGCATTTTATAAAGATAATAAAATTGCTGATTACATTGATTAAAACAATTTAACCGCCAAGATTTTGGGATATAAACAAGGGGAAAGGATTAAATACTGTTTTAATGCAGGCTCAGAAAACATAGTAACAGCTTATGGTGCTGCTCAAAAGCTTAGTTTACTTAGTGATCCTGGATATGCTGAATTTTTAGACATTGAACCTTTATAGTCTTATTATTGTTTTTTACCAACCATTTGGCATCAAATTAGTATAAAAACGTACAGTTTTTTAAAGAGTATTAGTAAATAGTTACGGTGCTGATAGGGAAAGCAAGGTACCGTTATAGCGAATAATCAAATAATAATAGTGATCACTAATTATTTTATACTTTCGAAACTTGATCATATTTTCAATTAATATCACATAATTATCATTTAATAAATATTAAATAAATACCTTATAAAATTCTAAAATATCGGTCACACATTTCATACATTTTCGTAGTACCATCAGCGAAGTGGTATACATGCATCAAATGAATACCGTATTTGCCCAAAAATAAGCAACATTTTTTTATTACAGAGTTGCTTATTTTTAGGCACAAACAAAATCTAGTACCTTTTTTTTTATTAAGCTGCGCAAATCATCATGTTCAAAAAAGTGTGCAAATCTTACGTCACAAAACTCGGCAAGAATTTTACCGGCGCATTTCAGGTGATCGATCTCACATGACGAAGGTACATAATAACTTAACAATTTTGCGCTATTTCTATACTACTTGGAAGGAGATATTTAGAACATCGCAGTATGTAGATTTTCTCAGGTGAATCAAAAGAATAGGCGCCTTCCCACTTTCCTCGTATCGACTCTCTATGTTCCTTACCACATACAGGGTAAGGAATTCCACTGGGCCAATTGATAGAATTCAAGATCTTCACTGTCGGGTAGAAAAGATAATTCAAGACACTGCTTTTTCAACTGTTTTGGCAATTGGAGGAGGTAGCCTGTTCACTTTTGGAATAGGCTTAAGTTTAAGTTTAATCGGAGCTTGATTCCTAGAAGGAATCGTCTTCACCTCAGCTTTGGGCGAATTGACTGGACCGAATCCCGAAGAATTAATTATCTGAAGAATTAGAAACATGAGTTAATGATTAATGATTTTTCATTTTTTTTTTTTTTTTTTTTTTTTTTTNTTTTTTTTTTTTTTTTTGAAAAAAATTATTTTCCAATATAGAAATATAGTTCGGAAAGTTATATAATAGGACGATTTCTATTTATCACATTATTTGTCTTGTATTACGTCATAAATAATATCATAATGTTACAGTTTCATAGTTAATGCATAACTTTAGCCAAAAAGTACATAAAGGTAAAATTCAAATGTCATGTGAAATTCAAGTTATTAAACATAATGGAGTTCTTTAAGCTTTCTAGAACTTCATTAAAATATTTTAAAATCCAATAATTTGAAATAATTTGAATGATATATTATGCATTTCATCGTTTATATAACTCCGCATTCTGCACATTCAGTATTTGTTTGAAACTTTAAACATTAATTGTGAATCTCCGGATTTTCCTCAAGTTCCTGTTGGTGGGACGTTGAAACGTTAACTAAAGTCCCAACGTAACAAATAGCATATATTACAGATAAATTTAGAACAAAGAACTGACAAATAAAACCTTGTTCGGAAAAAAGTTTCATTCAGGTGTACCGATACGCAAAACCTAAAAATAATTATTTATAATTTGTTAACGAACTTTTAATGATTAAATGATTAACATGATTAATTCATAATATTGAACGGCAAGTCTTCCTTTAATCTTAACCTTAAGAAATAAGTCGTCTAGAAAACTTTTAGTTTGTTGTACATATTTGCATATTTTTTTGATATGTGTTGTGATTGTTTATCTTTCCAAAATGTTATAATAAATTAATAAATCCCTGCATACGGCATACCTTGCATAATAATTAATTCATTAGATAATTTTCTAATTGAAACCATGAAATAAATACTTAGAATTTATTTTTTTTTTTGTCATATTAGGAATAAAAATTTCTAAAAATAATGTTTGTACTTATGATAATGTATCATCTTCATTAAAACTTTTAAATTGAGTACATAACTTCAAAGTACCAACAAGTCCCCTTAGGACAGAAATCTCTGTATAAATAACGTACGTAAATATTCAAAAAATTCAATACCTCAAATTCATACGAGTTTTTTTTTCTTAAAATCTCCAAAGACTTAAATCATTCTTTCCTTTTTTTTAAGAAAAATATATAATTATATATATATATATATATATATATATACAGTATATATAAATTACAATTATCCTTGCTTGTCAGATAATTAATACATTCATTCTTTCCAAAATGAGTACAAACTCCTCTCAACAAGACCAATTTGCCGATAATACTAATCAACAAGTTAATAATAGCGAGGCTATTAAAATGATAAAACAATTAGTAGTTCCGCAAATTACGAACAATTCCCAAGCAAATACATTTTTCAATGGAACAAAGTTTCATGATAAAAATGATATCGAATCGTTAATTTTGCCTGCTGGATGTGGATGTTCAGGGTCAAATTTTCCTTAAATACGGAAAATTTATTGATTTTTGAAAAAAAAAAAATATTTTTATACCGAGAAAAGATGTATTATGTAAGCTCTGTCTCTTATACACATCTAGATGTGTATAAGAGAAAGGTCTGGTAACTTTTGATTAAGTAATTTTTTTTTTTTAGAAAAATTAGAATTTTATTAGAATTTTAGAATTATAGACACTATACATAATACAATTTATTACTATAATATATATAATATAATATAATATAATATAATAATATAATTTAGTATCAAAAGTTTGATAATTTTGATAAACATATTTTCTGATAGTGAGTTTCAAGCAAATACTTTTAAAATATACTCATTTACGAATAAACATTACTTCTAGATTAATTTTACAATTAATTCTTGTATATTGACGTAAAATGTGGCTTGTATAAGTTTATTTTTTTCCATGCATAATTTTTATTTATTATTAACCCAGGTACTTTACTTCAGATCGTCATGTTGTGACTTTGTGACGCAACATTAATGACTAATAACAAAGAAAATTATTTTAGCTTTTTTAACTTTGTTTCGAAATTTGATGTCATTTGATTCGTTCATTTATTCATAAATTGTCATAAATTGTCATAAATTTTCATAATACCTCAACACAATATTGAAAGTACTTTGCGAAAACACGTGAGTCGGAGTCACTCCGTTCTGAATTTGACACAAAATTTAAAACAATGTAACTCATTATTTAGTGTTCATATTTCAAAAATAATAATTATATACGAACAAATAAAACGCTCTGTTCTGGACTCTATCTACTATTTTATTGGATACGCACTGGAAACATTTCTTTGTAACGTTCTTTGTAGTTCTGAATTTGGAAAACCCCCCTAAATATGTACTGTATAACAAATTTTCTTTATTCAGTCGATCCGAAATTTGTAAACATAAAATAAATACCAAAAATTGTTTATTATAATATTATTATTACAAATTTTATTCAAACTTCATTAAATTATTATTAAAATATATATTTAATTAATATCAGCATTAGTATTCCTATTCATTATATGATTCTATATTTACCAAATAAATGTATAAATTTTTGACGTGTATAATATATAAATGACGTATAATACGTAATAATAATTATGCACGTTTTGCTCCTCGGAATTTATTACGTAATTTATCAGGGAAATGAATTGAAAGATAAATTATGAAACACGAATTCCAAATTAACGAATTCAAAATATAATGTACACGTGCAATAAATCTTGCATTTAAATCATTTTAATCTGTCCTCATTATTAAATATTGAATATCGTTCTAATTGTTAAATGAGCCAATAATAATTAATGCTATTAATTAATATTACCACATTGTACGTAAAAAAAAACTAAAAATATTGTAAAAACTAATTAACTGTTAGATGTAATAATATTTATTTTCAATAAATTTTATCCGAACCTAACAAATGCAAACACAAATAAAATAATGCCGATTTTGTTTGTGAATTAAGTACCCTATAATGTTATGAAAAATCATGAAACATGAGATTTGAAACATTGGAAATGATAATCTCTTTGTTTAGCTCCAGAATTAAATATTTGTTTTTTTTTATAAAAAAAAATGTACTTTAAATAAACAAATATACATTTTATCATTCCAAGAGTGTATAGGCATTCAAGTGTCCATAAAGAAAAAATGAATAGGGAAAGGAAGAGAATTTAAAGAAGAAAATAAGAAAAATCCATTAAGTAAAGAAAATGTTAAGTCAGTTATAAAGTTAGGTTCCTAAATGTAAAGAAAAGTTGCATAATCGTAGTATAAAATCATTCTTTACTGCGTTATTCCGATTACTCCGATTACACCAGGTTACTCCGGGTTACTCGGTTACTCCGGTTTAGTAGTAATGTCGTACAAAAATATTTAAATTGCAATTGTCATATATTTTATTTTCAGTAAATTATATTCGAACTTTTTTATTAATTTGTTCTATACTATATTTATCGAACAAATGCACAAGTATGCGAAAGATAAACACGAATAAAATAAAAATAAACATGAATATTCTACGCGAAGCGGAAAGTATCATCTTATAAGGATAAAATGGACAAAATACATCATATATTTATTTTTATCCGAACTTTTTATTAATTTGGTTTATACTATATTTATCGAACAAATGTACAAAATATGCGTAAGATACACGAATAAAATAAAGGTAAATTTTCTACGTGAAGCGGAAAGTAACTTAAAATTAGGACATCACGTAATAATAATGATTATTTATAGATAAATTTCACGAGACACTTTTGCTTACTCCCTAATTATTAAATAAATTATAATTTTGAAACACTAAAAATAATTTTCCTTGTCTAATTTTGACTTTGTAATTCAACGAATTAAAATGCAATACCAAAAGAAATAAATTTACATATGTACGTTAAATATGTCAGTGGTCCATTGTTCTTACCGTACACTAATGTTGTACTCATTATTAATAAATATTATGATACTATCATTTCCTATTTTTCAATGAATGGAAAGATATTATCTAATAAAAAATAATTTCATACAAAATAAAATTTATTACTTAAAAGAGACATCAAGTTAATATAAATAAATTTCCATACTAAGAATACGAATAGGAAAATGCGACGATCGTTGCTTATAGACAAGATTATAGACAAAATTAAATATTATGTCATTATAACAACTATTACTATTGTTCTTTCAATCGTTTCAAATGTAAAACATTTAATTTTTATGAAAGTGTTTTTTATTATTTTGCACCCTTGCATATTTCAATATTTTATTGCAGGAAGTATTAAAGGATGATATGTCTTGCTTTTGGCGTAAACTTGTGACATGGCTTGAAAAAAAAAATGTTCGGTTAACGTCAAATTTGTACAAAATGTTACAACTTAAAAATTTTTCCGTGTTCTTTTAATTTACACAAAATATTCTATTCATATTTCTTCATTTGGAAATTGTCAAGTAAAAAAATGGCGAATACATCTCTGCTAATCCTTCCCCTCCCCCTATTTTTTTTTTTTTTTTTTTTTTTTACAGTACATACTTTACAATATCTTTGTATGATAACAAATCGTAAAATTTCGGAATTGAATCTGAATATAGAAGAAAGAAAGTCAAACGATTGATCAAATGACCATTAATTTAATGGTGAAACAAACACAGAACGCCGTATCTTCTGAATATTCATAAGTTCATTTCTGATCATTTTCTCCCCCGAAGTTCCGAATAACGTAATAATAATTTCAACTCATACAAATATGATTGTTGATTTTAAGAAATAATTTTTTTTTAAGTAATAATCATTATAACATTGTCTGCGGTGCGGTCGATCAAACTAAAGTACTTCTTTATTGATTTAAATTAATTGAATATCAAATATATTAAACAATACATTTTGGGTAACGAATCAAAATTTTATTCGATTAACACAGCATTTACAATAAAAAAAACAATTACAATATCTAAATGAAATTCATGAATTATTATTTATTTTTAATTGTTTATATATATTATTACATCATTATTTACATCATTTATAAAAAAAAAAAGTCGAGGAAGAAAAAATCAAGAGAGATCGTAAATAAATAAATCGTGTAATAATAATAATAATAGCGATTAGTGATAATGTAATACTGTGGTAAAAGTAAAAGTAGTAAAGTGATGACAGTAATAGTAATAATCATTATTAATATTTGCTTTTTTTCAGCTATAATTATGCATAATTGCGTAAAAAATAAAATCAATAAAAATTATTATTTGACATTAGAGATTTAGTTAAGAATCAAAAAAAGATGTTAAATTCCAATAAATAAAATAAATAAATAATAATATAAAGCCAAAAAATTCCAACAAAAGTCATCAATATAATTCAATGATGCGTATGCGCATACATGTGAAGAACTAAGGTAAATATATGCACTTTATTTTCTTATTTTATTAAGATATGATAAAGAAAAAAAAAAGGAAATGATGAGCTAAAATTTCCAAGTAAAATTTCCAGGTAGATAGAAATATTGACGATATATTGCTTCAAAAAGGGCGTAATTACGTTTAAATTCTAAATTAGTAAATAAATGAAATTAATTTGGTACAGGCCTAATATCTAAATTGTTTCAAGACTAAAAATAATTTATTTAATTTCATAATCAGTCTAGCTAGTTACAAAAAATATTTCCTTTTATCGAAAAGCAGAACTAAAAAAAAAAAAAAGATATTAAATTGTAAATAACAAATCAAAAACGAATAAAAACGAATGATGCAATTGATTTGTCGATCAATAAAAATACAGTACATTTTTGGATAACTGAGTTAACATTAGATGAACGAATACTTTATGCAGGGCCTTAAGATTTTCGTTCGAATAAAATTAATTATTGCCAAGATGAGGTTATTTTGTACAAATATGTAAAATATTTTTCACGCGTATTAATATTTGTGTATCACAAAAGAATTCTAGTAAAATATTCAAAATCTAAAGCAACGGTAGGTAATTATTATTATTAAGCAAAAAAAAAAAAACAAATAAATTTTTTTATATAAATAAATATAACCCTGTTAACTTTTTTACTCTACCCTTTCCATTTTTTTTAAAAAAATAATTCCCTCGATTTTTTTAAGTCAATTATTACATACTTAAAAAAAAAATATTTTTTTTTTCCTTAAAAAAAATGAATGTAAACGATAATTATTTGGTGGATCTTATAGATCGTGAACTTGTCTGTAAGCTCCCTTACGATAATAATGCGCTTTCGGTTGCAGATTGGGCAAGAAGTCGTAATATCGATATATTAAACGGATTGGGTCTTGTTACATTAAATGTCGAAATTGAAGCTCAGAGACTGAGGTTAAAGGATCAACGGATGATTCATTTAACATCAAAATATATTTGGACATCTTATATAACACCTTCTCAAAAAGAGAAATTTAAAGCTTTAGCTAAAAAAGCCAATGATATAAATAATAATATAAGACAAATTAATGCCGAAAATTTAAATAGAATATTTCGGTTAAATACGCAAGATACAGATATTCCCTTAATAAATGGGATTAATTTTTATGATGATAATGGGGGTTTCGAATCATTGTTTATGCCTGCCGGAAATGGTTCTTCATCATTTTAGATATGATGAATTTTTTTTCGTTTTCCTGAAATCCTTCATTAATATGATCTCATGATCATTTTTTTCAGTTTTTTTCTATTAAGAATTGTTACATAGATATTTTAAAAAGTAATAGATATTTAAATAGTAACATAGATATTATTTAATTAGTAATAACAATTCTTTTTACACATTCTACTTTCCTTTTATAACTTGGGTTGAAATGATTGGTTAGTTTAAGAAATTAAGTAAAAATTAATATATGATTGTATACAGAATATAAAATTAATAAAATGTCTAAAAAAAAAAAAAAATTGTTTCGTCCGGTGATTATTTTGAGCGCGTGATTATAAACAATAACAATTCTATTTATAACTACTAAAGAATTGTCCCAATATTTTAAAAAGAAATGATATCCAGAAGAATTTAGACTAATTTAATACAGTAAAAAGTAAAAAAAGGAATTCACTAAATCGGCCTCAAAACAATCTAACGAAATTTGTCGTGCTGTAATGTTATTTGTCAAAAAATAATAAAACATGCTGTTCTCTAAAGAAAGAAACGTAAAGAAGGGGATTATCGTTTATCAAAAAAAAAAATGATAATGCACAATGCGTGACATACTTAATAAATAATATTATTATTATGCATTTTTTTTTATATCATCTGAAACATGCATGGTTCTTTGTCTATTTATAAATGAAACATTTTTTCCCCTTGCCGATCATTCTTCGAAATATGGTCGAATTAAAAAAAAGTAAAACATGGAATGATGCAATATTAGCATCAAAAAAAAAAAAATTGTTTAAAAAAATTTTTGATGTTTATGTATCGCGTGATATTTTTATTTTTTTTTTTGATATTAAAAAAATAAAATAAAAATTAATTTAATCTTTCAATTTGTTGCTCTATGCAATGCACTAAAACCTTAGAACCCCAGAATATCATTCTTTTTTTTTTAAAAAAAAATGAATAAAAGTTAATAATTGGTGCAAGATTATTGATACGTAATATTTACGTCATTTGTAACTCCCATAGAAACATTAACACATACTTTTCCGTATGTAATGACTTTTTTTACGAAAAAAACAAAAACTTATAATATATTCTACGGACTATTGGACTTTTTTGGATAACAAGATATTTCATATAAAAGAAAATTCTTCGCTCTATCAGTGCATGTTGATAAAACAAAAATAGAAATTATTATTCAAGGTTTTTCCGATGTTCTCATGACCTTTACATTTTTTTTCTGTCATAATAGTTAGTATCCATTATTTATAATCGAAAATAATCGAAAAAAGTTCATTCGTTAATATTAATTCAAATCGCAATATCAATGCATAATCAATTTATCAATCAAATTTTGAACAATAAAGTTCAATTCATTAAAATTCAGATTTAAAATAACAACTAGTAATTTAATAATTGACGATTTCCAATGAGATATGATTGGTACAATTTAGAATACAGTAAAATCGGGTAATTTATTATGACAATTTACTTTTTTAGTAATTACATAAATTATTGTTTGATAGACAATTTTTGAAAGAGGATTAAAATACAATACTCTGTTCTTTTTTCGTAGAGATGGTTTTTGTTATAATATTTGAAATTTTCAAAGTTATTCCAAGAATGATTGTTAAAATTTAAAATAATTTTTATTGGGAGTTTGCATTATGTTTTTATTAAATGCATTTCATTGAACTTTCATAATTCACCATTTTAAGTTAGCGTATTTTAACAATGAGACTAAATACAATCAAATTTGATCATCATTCATATGAAAAAAGTTAGTTACTGCGTTCTTATTCAATGAAATTGTGCGCAAATAAAAATATGCAATACACGGAATATGATAACGAAAAAAAGGTATAAATTTAATGATATGCATGAAAAATTTTTTGTATATGGTAGCATCAAATATGAGCATCTGACTTTTAAATGAAGGTCAAAAAATTAAAAATAAGATTATATTAATAGCCCTGCATAATTTACGACGATTAAAACTTATTGTAGCCTTGCATAATTTGCGGTTATGTAAACGATTAATTTTTTTAAAAAAAAATTAAGCCAAAAAACGTATAAATTATTCGGCAAAGACTATTTTGAAATAGCAATAAAAATAATTCTACGCTATATATGGAAGTTTATTTACTTGTTAGTGTTAACAAAAATGGTAATTATAATTTTCAATGATTATTCCGAATTTCCGAATTTCCGATGACCTCTTTTTTTTAATCCCGTAATATACGGTAACTAAAGTAACTCGGTAAAATTCGGTGATCAATGATCCGAATTTTTTTATTACTTTATTTTGAGTTTTACCGAGTTTTTACCGAATATGCCAATATGCCATGTGTACCTGCATAATATGGATATTGTTAAATATCTATGAAATCGGCATCAAGATCTTAGTGTATTATCGAGTTTAAAATCCTCCGTAATTAATTAAAACTCGGACAATAATTTTTTCTTAATGAGAGTACAAGGGTTCCCTTCATGATTGGTACAAACTTAATTTTTTCGGCGTTTTAACAAAAAAGTCATAAATTAAAAAAAAATCAAGCAATCAATGATAATGTTAATTTCAAACAATTATCGATGTTGCTGCATAACTTATTTTATTTATTATTGAATCCGAATATTAACAATTTATAGTAACATTATAACGAAAATTCATATGACGATGCAACTATGATCTAATCACATCAATCACATGGTTACGAAAGTTCGCGGAAATAAAATGCATTAAATTTATTTATTATTTTTTAAAAAAAGGTTACTCAATAACATTAGAGTATCAGCAGCAATATTTAATAATATGCATAAACTTTAAAATGATTTTTTTTTTCAACTTACAAATATTTCTTCGTGTAACATAAAATACATGAATGGCTTCTTTCAAGGCGTGCAAAGCACAACTTTTTTTTTTTTTACGAAATAAGATTTTTTTTTTTTTGAAAAATCAAAAAATGGACGGAATAACATATAAATACATTATACATAACAATTCTATTTGTTCCTCCGTACTATGTTAAATATCATCCCACACTATAATTTTAAAATTTCGGGAATGGAAAAACAAAGATCATTTAACTCACAATTTTTGTTACTCGATGCTGACGATGCATGCATTATTTCATTAAGACACTTTAATTGTCTGGAGCGTTCTTTTTTTTTCTGCCTTTCAAATGTAGACCGAAAAAATTAAAAAATTAAGATTATCTGTTATATTATTTAATATATTTTCATTATAGAATGTCGATAAATAAATAAACAATGCTTATATAATTTAAGGGTTATGTAAACGATTTATTTATTTATTTATTTTTTTTTTTTTATTTATTTTTTTACAAAATTAGAAAAAAAATATATATAATTTATTATTTAAATAATTTAAAAATAATTCATTGCTCGATGAAAGTTACTTGATTAGTAATGATAATAAAATAATTTCAAGATTACTCCGATAACCCCCTTTCTTTGTATCATAATTCAGCCATTTAGTAAACATTTATGATTTATAATCAAAAAAAAAGAAAATATGTATAAATTGGGTTTCATGATCGGGTTAAATCAATAAAATGTATTATCAAATTTCTCGAGTCTAAAAAACCTCCGAACTTAAAACTCGGAAAATAAAACCCTACGATTTTTATTTAGAGTACAAAGATTCCTTTAATTTCTTTTTAATTGGTAAAATTTTAATTAATTAAACATTTATTGGTAAAAGAGTTATAATGTATTGTATAAAGTAATCAATGATGATGTAAAAGTTCCCCATGGGAAATATAACTAAAAACCGATTGGTTTTGTGTATTACAATTTTTTTAAAATAATATTTATGATATTAAAGTTCTTATCGTCTTATCTGCTGCAAACTTATAAATGGTTTTTTATTCAATGAAATAATATATGATAACAATAAGAAAAAAACAAAGAAGCAAAACTATAATCGTTATGCATTTTCAATTAAAGAAGATTGCTGCGTCGCCAAAATTCGATCGGAAATCGCAAAAATAATTACGCGAATAATTACAATTTATTATTATTATTATTATTATTATTTCATATTTTAATATTTTTTTTAAAAAAAAGTTGCTCAATAACATGAGCAAACGGCAAAATTTAATAATATGCGTAATTTTCTCATCTGCCAGTGTTATTTTGTGTAACATCAAATACATGAATGGCTTCTTTCAAGGCAATGCAAACCATACTAATATTGTATATAATAAAATTCTTTCTGTGCCACGTTAGGTATGTTAGGTATTAGATTTTATAAATATTTTAAAAATATTTTAATTTTGTACAAACTTAAATGATTATATTATATTTTAAAAATTATTTTTTAAGTTTCGGGGATAGAAAAAACAAAAGATCAATTTAATTCACAACTTTTGTTACCATTTATTCATGCATGTTTTATAATAATAATAATCTAGAGCGTTCTTTTTTCTTCTATCTTCCGAAAGTATTAAAAAATTAGGATTATATTAATTAATTGTAGGTAAATATTTTGCCGATATAATCTATAAATAAAAAAATAAACAATACCTACTAAATATTATATGTTATGTAATCAAATTTTTTTTTACAAAAAAAAGAAAGGTTAAATAAAAAATGTATAATTTATTCCGAGAAGACAATTTTGGGAAAACAAAGTAATTTATTTAAATACTTACAAAAATAGAAATTTAAATTTTCCGATAACTCAAATGTGACAAAAATGTTCATGGTACCGAGATTGTAAAAATACAATTGCAATGTAATTTCTTAATTTGAAATATAAGGGTTCCTTTAACTTTTTTTTATGATTGGTAAAGAATAATTATTAAATACAGCATTTCTAATATATATATATATATATATATCCTTATTGAAGATTCTATCACATGGAAAAATAAAAAGTGACTTATGATCAAATTTATGAATAAAATTGCTTCACTTAAGATTAATTGCTTAAATGGTTACCTGTTATTAAAAAAATAAGAAAAAAAGAAATTGAATAACGGCAAATCTAACGTTAATACTTACGTATTATGAAGTAAGATTTCTTTGTTCTTTGTGTCATACATGCATGCAATCCCATGCATGATGCAAATACTACATGACTAAATGACTTTCATTTTCGGATAAAATTTATAATATCTAATATTCGGTTAAGTACTGTAACATGCAAGGACTAGTTCAATCCCAAGTTTCAAAAATATTTCAATATTCTTTCCCCTCAATGAAAAAATTTTGCCGATATAGCCTTACTTACTCCGTATAGGCACGGCACTGATAAAAATAAAAATAAAACAATGTTAATATTATACTTTTAATTTAAGGTCATGTAAGCAATTATTATTTTTTTTTTTTATAAGAAAAAATTAGACAAAATTTATTCCGCGAAGACTATTTTGGATAAAATTATTTAAATAATTGTGCATGAATCATTTTCAAGATCTTTAGAATACAAATCAATTTAATGTATTATTATCCTCCGGACTTGGAATAACTTTTACTAAAAATGACAATTACCGTTTAAAACTTTTAAAGTACCAGGATTCTGTCAATTCATTTGATTGGTGATATTAAAATCTTCGGCGTTTTGTTATTATTTTTTTGGTAAACAGTTCGAAAAAGGTCATATTCTTTCGATTATAATGTATAAAGTAATCAATGATGACATAAGAATAAATAAAAGTTATAAACCAATTGTTTTTGTGGTGATTTTATTGATAAAATTCATATTTTTTTTATAGATTATTTTATTTTTTTTTTATTTATTGTTTTACTTGATTTTTAATTTATTTTGGGGGATTTATTTTAATGGTTACACTTGGTTCTGGGTGAAAATATCATAGTTCATTATTCGAATGAAATTTTACAATAAAAATTCAATCATGTGGAAAAAATGGCGTGATAAATTGCATTTTTTTTTTTTGTCAAAAATCGAATTTTAATGATGTGCATAAACTTGCACTTGCATTTAACATGAATGAATGGCTATAAGTTATTGCTTATGTAAGTTTACACAAACTAACTTTTTTATTTTTTTTATTTTTTGTAAAAAAAAAAAAGAGAATTATCAAACATAATAAAATAAATAAATAAATAAATAAATTATTGTCTTGTGTACGCATGGTTTATCATTCTTCTAAATCAGGGGAAAAAGCTCTCTTACTAATGAGGTAAATTTTTGAAAGAAGATTTATGTACAAATTAAAATAACTTAAGTTATATATAATAGGGTAATTATAATCTATATGCTATACACATTTCTACGCATTATACGCATTTATACGCATTTATACACATTTATACGCATTTATACAATAAATTTTATTAACAAAAACAAAACAATTATGGAATGGAAATAAATTTATTCCACATTTTTTTTTTTTCATGCATTACTTCATTAAAGACACTTTTAATTACCTAATTTTTCTGCTACCGAAAAAATTTAAATAATTTTAAGACCATGTTATTTATTAAATGCAGCAAAAAAAAAAAATTTTTTTATTGTAAGCCCTGCATATATTATTTATATAAATAAACAATACTTATATAATCTTATAAAAAATGTATAATTTATTCCGCAGGCTGTTTTGGGATGACAAAAGTGAATATATATAAATTATTTTAAAAACAATTTTAGTCACAATCAGTGGTCATTAATCATGTATGTACGAATTAATACCGAGATTAGTTCGAAAACGCATGTAAAAAATATGTAAAATTTCGTCATTAACAAATTTTCCAAGTTTAAAATTAACCGAACTTTAAATTCGGACAATTATCGTTTGAAATTTGCGATTTCTAAATTGGAACATCAAAGGGTTCAGGTTCATGATTGAAGTATCAGGAGCCTGAAAACTACAATCTAATTGGTACTTTGTTGTAACAATTATAAGATAATGTAAAAAAAAAAATAAATAAAAATTTAATATCTTTATTGGTATTAAAAAATTTGGACTAACTAAAAATTATGGTACAAACCGCGAACTGCGTGAAAAAAATTTTAATATAAATAATTGCTCCTATAAATTTTTCAACAGGAAAAAATATTCTCGTTTAAATATTAATTTTCTACCTTACTTGCGAATTACTTACATATTCTTTAAGAAATACTCTAATTCTCTTTAATTAATTCCTCTTGAAAAATCATAGCAATGAATTACAATAAAATTTACAATAAAATTTGTCAACCACCTCATAATCAGTCTAGACAACTAGCTGATGAAATAAGACTAAATAATACAAAATTCACGATTGTAACACCAAGAATGATAATAAAGAGAAATATTAAACGAGAAATCGATGATGAAAACATAGATATTAATTCGATGGTAAATGCCGTTTGGAACCACCATTTAACAGATGCTCAAAGAGAGGAATTTGAATCTTTGGCAAAAAGTATTAACGACATCAATCAAAATGTTGCGAATATTAATAGTGATTCGCACAATAGAATGAACCGAATCAATAATCATCAAGAAATTGACCCTATTGGGATTTTTAGTGGGACGGAAATCTCCCAAAGAACTGATTTTGAATCTCTCATATTAGCAACTTTTCCATAATTATTATAATTAGTATAGAATTCTCAAATCCGGTTTATTTGTTGATTCTATAAGAATAGTTTCTGTCTCTTATACACATCTAGATGTGTATAAGAGACAGGTACTATACTCTCGCATAAATCCGATAGTTTTTTAAACCCCGTTAATTTTTTTTTTTTTTTTGCTTTCCTTATTTGTTCGTGTACTATACTGCATAAATCCGATAATTTTTTAAACCCCGTTAATTTTTTTTTGCTATCCCTATTTGTGTCGTGTACTATACTCTCGCATAAATCCGATATTTAAACCCCGTTAATTTTTTTTTTTACCCGTTAGATTAACCTGATAGTAATTAGTAATATTATTTACGATTTTCGTATTAAGATTTTTAAATTCATTATGACATTTATTATGCATTATGTATATCTTATTTTAATTAATAACAATAAATATGTTTATAATATTTACCACAATGAGATTTACATTACGAGAAATGGAACAATAAACTTTAATCATCATATGAAAATAATAACCTGAGAAAGTTGTATTATTTCACGTGATCTATTAAAAAAATATTTTTAAGTGGAAAAAAGCGCAGAAATACTAATAACTATTCTTTTTTTTACGACTAACATGAAATATAATATAATTTGTCAGCAGAAATGATTCTTCGGAATAATTTTTTTTGGAAAAATAATGAATCCGTTCATTCTTATATATTCTAAATCAGGAAAAATCAAGGCATCGGATTAACAATGTTATAATCTATAAAGGATTACAAAGGATGCATGCAATAATATATGTAGTTAAACCGCAAATCCGCAATTTTCCTTTACATAAAATATGATTAACGATCGACTAATAATATATTAAAAGTTTTTTTTTTTTTTAATACTCCATATATTAAATATCGCTAATTATACTTTTTCGATAATGCAATATGACAATTAAGACAACCAGTTGATTGTTTATAACCATAATTAATGTTATTTTTGCTGAAACTATTTGTGTTATTAAATAGGGGGGAGGGTAATTATTGATTTATGCTGAGATTTCCTAAATTGGTAATCTTAACCAAAAGGGAAATGTCAACCTTCTTATTTTTTTATTAATTTTAATAATTAAGTTGGAATCTTATAATTTATAATTAAAACATTCCATTTTACAATAGTAATTCGACAAGTACATTTCTATAAATAATTAAATAAATTTAACCCGAGTTTTTTTTTCCCGAGATTTCTTAAAAGTATATCCAATTTATTGAATCGAATAAATCAAAAGGTAAATTTCGTAATTAAAACTTTTGCACTTTTTAAAAAAAAATTCGGTTTTTTATTTTTACCCATTCAGAAAGTTGACAATTTCTAATTTGGAGCACAAGAATTTCTTTAAAATTTTCGTCATCATGATTTGGACAAATTTTAATTTCGGCGTTGAATTTGAATTACACAAAAATAATCATCGCGCATTTTTATTCTACAAAAGAAAAAAAAATATCAAGCAATTAATAATAATGTAAAAATTAATAGTAGCTTCAATTTACTTTATTTGGTAATACTAAGGTATTAATTAAATTAATTATGATCTAACCAGTTAAAAAATTAGATTACATGAAAATTTTCTTATAAATTCGCTCCTTCACCTTTTAAAAAAACTGAAAAAAAAACTGAAAATTCTTCTACAAAAAAAAAAATCACTGTTATTATATCTTTGGCGAAAAATCTTGAAACTTCCAACCAAAAAAAAAAATCAAATCATACCATGAAATATAATAGATTAAATAGAATCTGCAATCCACCTCATCTTGATCAATATAAACAAATTGCTGATAAAGAAAGAAAAAATAATATAAAATACAAGCCTGTTTCAGCGAAAAAGCTACTTAAAAGAAACATGGAGGAAGCTCATGAAGAAAATATTAATATGTCGACGGTGGACAACTTTTGGAATCACCGTTTATCAGATGATCAACGAAAAGGGTTTGAAGCTTTATCTAGAAAAATCAATGAATATAATCTAGATATAGTAAATGTAAGTGAAGATTCTCGTGATAAAATGTACAGAATTGGCAATCCTCAAGAAATTGAAAATACTTTCGGAATTGCAATTTTTGGTGGGACGAACCAATTCCATGAACAGAATGATTTTGAAACTTATGTTTTGACACCCTTTCCTTAATTACACTAAATAGATTAGATATTATAGAACAATTATTAGATATATATAATTTAATTTTCCGAAGGACTTTTATATCATAGATTTATAAACACCTTAAAATTATTCTTTCTTCACTTACTATCGAAAGAATCTTGCTTATTCAACCTTTGGTTTTGTCCTTACCTTCAGTTTATTTCTAATTGTTTCCCCATTTCTCTTTTCCAACCTTTTTCATGACACTCTTTTTAAATTTGCTTTTAAAAGTCGATGTCGGCGGCTTTAATTTTTTAATATATGATATTATTTATTTACGATTTAAGTACCTTCCATTAAGTTTAGTTTTCTTCCAAATAAGAGATATAAATATTTTTTCTTTTAATAAGTTAATAATTATGCACAAATAAGTATATTTTTAAGTATTATATGAATAATTATGGATAATTGTTACACATTTTTATTTTATATATAAGGTTTTACATTTTTTTTTAGAGATATTTTAAGATAAGTTCCTTTCAACATTTCTTTTCATTCAAAGAAATATCATTTTCTAAATTCATGTGTAACAATGTGAACCAATTAAATGTCAAATTTGTCGTAGTACATAGATGTCACTCATTTAACATCTTTCGGAACTTTCGGGAGAAATGGGAAAGATACTTGATTTTAATTGATATAATTGATATAATCGATTTGATATAATTGATTTAAACTGATTAAATCGATTTTATTTTTTTTTTTTCCTTCATTTTTCTTTTCCTTTNTTTTAAAAAAAAAAAAAAAAATAATAATGACGTGCGCTCAACGATTTAATGACTTTTTAAATCGTATAAATTGTGAACAAATCTATGAGCTCCCTTACAATAATAATCCACTTATGGTCGCGTCTCACGCAAGGAATTTCTCTACAGCAGTTCCAAAATTATCAGGATATTCTTTATTGAAATGGAATGTAGAACATGAAGTTCAACGATTACGAATTGATAAATCTATAATTCATCCGGCAACAAAATTTATTTGGAACTTAAAATTATCAGTTTCTCAAAGAAATCAATTTATAGCTTTGGCAAATAATGCAAATGATATTAATGATCGCGTAAAATTAGTGAATAATAATGATACGATTAATAGGATTATACAAATTGATTCCCCACAAGAAACAAATAATCTTTTTGAATTAAATTTTTTTAATGGTACGAAATTTAATGATGATAATGATAATTTTAATTATTTAACGTTGCCTTTGGGATCTCAATATGATTCGTATCATTCTTCTAATCAATTATTCAAACTTAATGAAAATATATAAATTATATGATATTATATACGGTAAATACTACATATTATTTATTATATTATGATTAAAATTTTTATTAATAAATGTTGTTTTTAAGTTCAAATAAATAAATAAACTATGTTTTTAAATTCTCGAAATTTTATTCGTATAAAAATTTTATCCAATAAAATTCCTCATGGTTTCTGATTGGTTATTGATATTCAACAATGCTATAACTTTTAACCTGGTAATTAATTTAATAATTATGTTTTAGTGAAATTAATAAATTCATTCCTAATAAAATATTTTTCCGAATAATTATTTAAATGATATTTGTTGAATTTTAATGTGTGTAACACAACTTTAATACATATCGTCCTTTATATAAAGGCGTAATAATTAACAACACTTTTATATTTTATTTAACAGTCGCAAAATTTTATTTCAGTCTATTATTATTAAAAATTAAAAATTATATTATATTATATTATTTATTATTGATATTATAAAAAAAGTAGATTGTCGTATATGGTGTAGTATAAGAAAATGATTTTGAGAATTTAAATAAATATAGTCTACTCAAACTGATATATATACTGTTTTTGAATGTACCGTGGATGTTCTATTGTGATTGAGAAGATTGCACTACTCTTTTACAACTAATACAAATTTTTGTATTCCCTTTTCCTTTAACTGTAATCACTCCCTGATCCATCACTTTAATTTCATCATCACTCCCTTTCACCACTTCAATTTTTACATCCTCCATAACAATGTTTCGATGTACAAGAGGGGCTTGCCGTCGAGACATTTTAACTATGTTGTAATGTTCTTCTATGTCAAAGTAAGCTTTTGATTTGGTGGTCAAAATAATCTTTCGTTTACAAGCGTTTACCAGGTTGATGATATCTTTGTTATATTCACAATCAGATACTATACAACCTATTTTACCATTTTGATTTAATAAGAGACTTTCCATTTCTTGAATAGTCTTAGTTGTAACAGAACTCCTACATTGTATCAATACTTCCATCTCCTTGTACCAGGCAAATATATCAACTCCATAATTATCAAAAAATTCTTTTTCCTTTGTTATAGGATTATTATATGAAGTTCTAGTCATTGTAGCCCTCATTCCTAGAGTCTCCAATCCATCACGAACAAATTTTACCATTTCATTATCTAAAACACAATCATCTTCTGATGAAAAAGATGAAAAGGATGAGAAAGAGCCTCCTGGATAATCCAAATCTAATTTTAGTTTCCCCTTGGTAGATAGGTTAACTTCAGGTTTGAAGTTTCCTGAACGGAAAGGTTTTGTAATCCTCTCATTATTTACTGGATGTAAATGGGGAGTAAAACTCTCAGTTGGCCGTTTTCTTTTGCTCTTTATCTTCAAAAGGACAAAGTCATGTAAATTGAATGCAAAAAAAAATATATAATTATAAAAATTCCATACCAAATTATCATTTGTCTTTTTTGTATATACTTTACTGGTCTGTATCTAATCAAATTAAGCAAGAGTTAATACAAGTTTTAATTGGCAGTAAATATTGACTTAACAAACCTTTTCCGATTCCTGAGCATCTGAAGTGTTAATGGATGATCCAGATGATTCTATTTGATCCCAAAACACCTGGACATCACAATGTCGTCTACGGTGATCCTTATAGACATAACATAATGACATACATTATAACCCGGGCAGGAAATCATGGGCATTCTTATCAAATAACTACTTACCTTATGATTATTCAGCAATCGGTTTGCAGCCGTTTTAATTTCTCGTGAGTAATTTCCTTTTATTAGTTTCTCTAGTTCGACAGAGAGATTGCAAGCTTCTTTTTCGAATGAAAACGTGAAATCAGGTTGCTGCCTGCGGTAATTATAGTAGCCAAGAAATTTATAATCATTTGCTGGCGTATTTAAAAAATAATCAGATATTTTTGTCATGATTGTAGAATTTAGGGATATGTTTTTTTTTAAAAAAAAAGAATATTACGTGTTTTTTTAAAAAAAAAAGATTTTAAAAAGAATATTACGTGAAGAAAAGTAAGACAACAGATAGTATTTATAATAAAACTGTTGTACCATCAAAAAATTACGATTTTTGCATCATAAATGAAATGTAATTACGTGTTCTTTGTTTAGCAATAATAATGGCAATATTGCATCAAATTGGATCAAAATCTGTCGTATTCCCATCAATCGTTTTAGAAAATAATTATTATTATGATCAGTAAAATAATATGATTATATTAATCATCGGTGGATTCAGCCACAAATTTTCTACCCCCACGTGACCTAAAAAATTCACCACAATAAATAATTTTTTTCACCTCTCTTAAAATGTCACCGGTCACGGTAAATCGGATCATACAATTCGAGATTTTAGAAATACAAGTATATATATACCCACAAACTTTCTCTTTCTCTTAAAAAGTTTTCTCAAACCAAAAAAAAAAATATTTTTTCTCTAAAAAGTTGTTTGAACCCAGTTCGAACCCAGTTCAAGTTCAGCCCAGAAGGCCGTGGCTGAAGCAAAAAAGAATGGGCAGTTAGTTGAGCTCGCCCATCCCAGAGGGCATAAACATTTTTCTCTAAAAAAAAAAATTATATTATCTCCAAAATGAAGGTATCATTACTCCTGGGAAAGACTTCTTTTAGTGATGCTTTTCCGGTTAACGCTTGTGATGACTCTATAGTCGATGTTGATAAACTCAAAATTAGAGACTCTCGTTTCTTATTTGGAATGAGAAAAAAAACGCGTTATGAAACAGTTTACAAGGAAACATTGATTGTGTCGATATAGAACTTTGGAAGGTAACATCGCTTACGAATAGATGAAGAAAAGCTTAAAAATGTTAGATAATATTGAAAAAAAACTTGAAGGCGAGAAGTTGATATTTATCTTGTTTAAGAATTATTTTTTGGATTAATCACTTGTAGATGAGAAACATTCACATCGTACAAGTGCCCGCCGCTGCCGGTAAGTGTCTCCCAATGGCTTACCTCTCGAGCAAGAAATTTGCAGTAACGAATTATCAATTTTCTATTCGATTTGTGAAAAAGAAAGCGGAAGGTTCTGACGTGGCAAAGATAACGAAAAAGAGAAACTAGGTACTATATGTCAAAAATAAACTATATAATTTCGTATTCTGTCTGATGGAAGTAATATGTTATACTAACATTTTTCATGCATTCTGAAATATCTTAGTTCTCAATCAATAGTAAAGTTTTTAACGGAGGATGAAGAGAATAGAGAATAAAGATGGATCAAACTGATTTCGCAACCAAAAATGCAAAAAGTCTTGGCGATAAAATATTACATCCACTTTTCGCACTTCAATCTGCACCAGGAGGAAAATTATTCTTTTTTGACGAGTTAGCTAGTTTGAAAGGTGAAGATATCGAACTTGTTAGTAATTATAGTAATTATTTAAAAGAAAACATCCTCAGGATCATGAAGGGGTCGAAGAAGTTATAAATCTTATTCGTAATTCAACCGGCGTTTGTATAACGTATAATGGATTTTCGTTATATGATGATAAAACATACAGCAATATTCGAGAAGGATTAGCAATGCGTATTTTATGGAGCTATTTCTTCGATGGAAAGAGTTGTCCTGGATTGAATTTTACGATAATTTTAGTAAACATTTTGATTCATTGGAAAATGTTTCTCCAAGTTCTATTGAAATGATTCTTAGGACATTATTATAAAGGACAACAAAGAAGAATGGCTCTCAGTATTTTGATAACAAATGGTCCGGACAAAATGAAGGAGGGTGCTAGTATACTTAACGGAAGATTTAAGGTGAAGTTTTTTCTATCATCGTTTTTTGCATGGCTTTATGGCAGAGGGAGGCTTCTACAGCTATGGTGGGCACCTGCTAGCTGTCCACCTTACGGTCTGATTGCCCGCTGTAGAAAAAGGAAAACCCTCACAACTACGGTGGACACCTGCTTGCTGTCTACTTTATGGTCTGCTTGCCCGTTGTGCTTGTCTCTACCCATGCCTCTAGTCATTCCTATTTATACTATACAGTATACTAATTTTATGTGAGTTATAGGGGCATAGGGAATATTTTAGTGACGTTGATGCATTTCAATATAAAAGTGACGAGGATAACCACTCTCTTTGAGAATAATATGTGTATCTGTCTCAAGGCTTTCGATGGTACGAATTTTATCATTCAGCAAGTAAAGATCTTTCTATACGTTTGTGGAATCTCAAGACCATGCAGACTATCGCCATCACGACCGGTTTTGAGCATTGCAATGGTTCAAATTTGTCTTTTTAGCCCTCTAGATTTTTTGTTTTTATCATTATCTTTTACGGCTGAGTAGTTATTTATCCGTTGACGAAATTACATTACCAATTTACTCTATTTCTTGTGCAATATAAACTCTTTTAATTTACCTTTAGGATACTATATTGCGACATCATTGGTGGTTATAACCCATTTATTCCTGGGGCAATTTGATAGTTGCTTACAATAGAGAGAATAAGGTCAGTAGGGGGCAGGGGCACATTAAGTGGTACGTATAAATTAACTCAATTAGTTTCTATACTACCAAAGTTTGAGATCTATCACAATAACAATTAATAAAAATTAAAAATTTTAAATTGCCAATTGTAAAACCCAATAAATATTACATGATGTAAAATTAATATATTATTTATATTGAAATTTGAATCTACGAAGTGCCACATGCGGACATGCCATTAACAAGCACGCACCGTCGCACCATGCAATAACATATAACGCTTAATTTGTTACAATGATTTCTTAATTACATAGCTGTTCTTGTTGTATTTTAAAATGTTCCAGTATTTATTTGCCTGTAAAGGTATTATTAATTATTTATATGAGCCCTTTTCGGAATTAAGGATTGATTATCCTTAGTGCAGCAGTTGGGTGCGCACCCCTCATAAAGTCTGATTATGGTGAGGTCGCAGGTTCGATTCCTCTGATCACGGAGGATTGCAAAGAGACTGGTGGATTTATCAAACTACTTACAATTTATAAACTAAACTCATAGTTACGTGGTATACTGTAATCAATTATCAATTGCGGAAACCCGAAAAATATTAATACTTAAGAATATTAAGGAGATCGAGTAATTTGTTAAAAAAAGTTGATTTCGAGGTTCTTCTGTAGCACTATTTATTACTCATATAAAAATTACTCATGCGATAATCATGATACGTAACACATAATGTGTAATAATCATAAATAAATAAATATTCTCCTTTAGGTCTTTACTTTTTAGGTCTTCTCTTTCGTAAGATCAACGTTGGTGATCAATTAAAAGACGGCTAAGTCAATAAAATAATAACTATATTATATATTGATAAGCCGTAAATATAATATATTATAGTATGGAAAACATGAATTCTGTCAAATTGAAAATCTGTTTTAAATATTAACTGTATTGATGAAACAGAAATGGCATTTGATTTATAATTGAAACGTAAACTGATATGTACTAAATCAATTTATTAATTTACAAACTAAAAATTTTATTTAACTTTCTTAAAAAACTGATTCAAATTTATCACATTAATAACAAGATCCAAAATCTTTGTGATTAATAATTAAGAGAAGTTGCGAATTAGGCAAATAAGGATAATTGTAATTCATTTATTATTTTTTTTATTTTGGCGTAATATAAGACTAGAGTATATTGTAACTAAATTTAGTTAAAGCCAGAATTTTTTTTACATATTAAAATTTTAGTTCCGAGTTTATAAGCGGTACTGCGGCAGCGATATTACGGTCTGTTTTGACAAAGTAGAATAAAATTTTGAATGGGCGTACGGCTGCATTATCTGTTATTTGAAAAACCAATTTTACTGCTTTTCCTGAAAAGTGGAAGCCCAATTTCAATATTTTCGTGCACGTGACATTCTCCGTCGTTCTAATGAACGTTTTATTATTAAGATCTTATTATATCATTTATATGGTTATATGGTTGCAACAAGCTCGTCCAAGTTCATATTTCAATATATTATCATATGTTTAGTCTTTATTTTATTTTATTTTTCATGAATCCTTACCGCAGTAAACTTTTAATAACTATTTAATTATAAAATTTAAAATGAAATTAAAGAAGGTAACTTGTAATCAATACTATTCTTTACACCAGAAAATGAAATAATGCTAATAAATATTCATTCGCAAATACGCTTGAATTCTAATATGCTTGAATTCTTTGAAACCTTAATTTCATCCTATCTAATGAATTGCAACACGTACATGTACAGCGTACAACTTTTCTAAATAAAACAAATAATAACCACCTAAAGAAATAAATGCAACAACGACCCTCCTTTCACTCCAATTGCACTCAGAATTGAGTTTAAATCTACCTCCTTCAACTATAGTTAGTGATAAATCATAAATAACAGCTACATTATTAATAATCGTTCATTTACAAATAATAGATTACAACAACAGATTATTACATCCTATTTAATATTAATTTTACAACAACCACCTTTTCTGTTTATTCATTGGAAGTGGAATTATTCGTGTTGGTTTCTGTGGTCCTTTTATATCGATCGAAATTACGACGGCGACTACGAGAAGGTTGATGATGATTATTACTCGTACTTGTAGTAATAAAAGATCCTTTGTTAGGACAGTTGGTGGCGTAATGACCAATACCACCACAAGTAAAGCATCTTGAAGGTAAAAATCCAACAAATCGTCTATTATTCGCTTGAGTAGCCGAACCAGCAATAGAAGAGGTAACAGTGCTTCCAACACGAGGAGAACGTGAATTGGGTGTCCTAGGTGAATAATTTTGGCTACGACGACCACTTTTCGGAGAAGAATATGTTGAATGTCGTCTCAATTTTCTTCCTTGACTTGTACCACGTCGATATTTGTTAGGGTTAGTCACGTTATGATTATTGCTACTTTCTTTATTTTTCGTGGTAATGACCTCGGCTTTATTGACAATCTCGACAGATGTTTTATTGTTGTTTTCACCACTACTCTTCGCTTCGACAGATGACCCAGATGATTTATTATTTTCATTAGTATTCGAAGAAACTAATTCCGTACCAGATTTCGAATTATTATTCGGAGTAGTAACAGTTGCAGTAGCAGAATCAATATCATTATCCGCTTGAGAAATACTTGAACTAGATAAGTTGATGTTTTCAGTATTAGTACGACAAAGCAAAGCCTTTTTCCAAAGGATGTGACGAGCTTGAGCAATATGTTCTTTAGCTTCTTCAGGTAGTTGCATCGGCATAATAACGTCAAGAAGTTTCCCAGCAGTAGCAATAGCATTATAACAATATTGATCTTGTGGTTTTTCGAATTCAGTATGTTGCCAGTTTTCGTCAAATTTCACTTTATCAAGATTAGTATCCGGACAATAATGAATTTTAGCCAATTGTGTACGAAATTCTGATCTCAAATCAGCGATACACCTTACAATAGGATTAACAATTCTTGCTATGTCTATATCATCATCTTGAAGAGAACTGTCGCCAAGAGTCATTGGAGAAACCTCAAATGGGTCGTTCGTACCATTTATTTGAAGGGTATTAGAAGACTTAATTGGGGTTGTTTGCTCATAAGGAGTATATATTTCTGACAATTTTTGTAGAGGAATTAAACGATAATTACTGTCTTCCGAACCAGTCTCGTCTTCTTCATTACTCAAAGGTTCAGAATCTGTTCTTTCATCATCACTTGGATAATCTTTCCGATGTTTTGGCAGACTAAAATCAGATTCATCAGCAGAAGAAGTATAATCCTTATCCTTGTCATTATCGTTAGTAACCTTTAACCCAATTTCATGACTACCATCTTCAGAATGACAAGTTGTTTCATCACTCCATTTTTTCTCATTGACAATATTATTGTCCACCAAAGTAGTTTTACGATCTTGTTTCTTGTCGTTATTAGCAGACTCTCCTTCTACTGCATGTACATCAACATCACGTTTATGACCATCATTTTCTGTGACATTAAGTTGTTCAAGATTTTGTTGAAGCTCACTTTCAGGAGAAATTTCTTCAAGTTTGAGAGGCATGTTAAATAAGTTTTATCTGTGTTGAAAAAAAAATATAAAGATAAATAAATTTTTTGATGAAATCCAGAACGTATAAAATTATAAAATAAAGAAAGTGGTAAAGATACAACGAAGAACAGGAAAGAAAATGTCGACTTTGGCACCATAAACCGAGTCTATTTAAATTATTTATTTGGACACAAGCTTGAAATCAAATGATTATCAACCCGAAATAAAGCAAACTTTCTCATCACGTGTGATATATGCGTCATAACGTTATAGTATGTTGTGTACCGCAAAAAGTTAAGTTTGATCATCTTAAAATATGCACAAGTCGACGCGAAAAGCTTAACATTAAAAATTGAATACGTGTCCAAAATTTTAATCTCTACCTGTCGTATTTTGAGCCAATTATCTTATGCAGCCTTGTCAGACCATCAAATATTTAATATTTATTTCATTTCGTAAAAATTTTACTGCATAATTTTGACAAAGAATTCTTAATAAAGGGCTATATTTCAAAATGTATAAAAGTATAAATTATTTAGAAGAATTGACTCATGTGATTGTAAAAAAGTTTACTAGTAATTTTATTTGGAAGGAGAGAAAATAAAAATACAAAAGAAAAAAAATAAATATATATATATTATATATGTATTTTCTTTCACACAGTCTATTTAATTAAAATATTAAATCGTAATAATTTAAGAAAATCGATAAAGATACGGCCGTTAAAAAACATATACCACCAAATGTTTTGATAGGATACCCTACACTGTTCGCCTTTTTCTCATTAATTTTCTCATTAGTAGTACATGGTAGCGAAGTAACTTCTCTAACGTAATCAACATTTAATAGATTTCTTTTACCTATTGAATAGGAAAAATATTATTAGATAATTTATTTCCCACCTTTTTATAATCCCATAATCCCTTACTGCCATTTTTAAGAAAATATATATTTTTTTTAAGGTATTAACAACAAAGATTTTCATCATCAACAAAATTGTCACTTTTGTTACCTTCTATATAAATTTCATGCACGCTATAATCCAAATTTTCTTTACTTTCATTCATTGAAGTGATATCATGCCAGTATAAAATTCGTTGATTATCTTTATCCCAATTCCATTTACCACTACTAACTTTAACAGTAAAATCGTTTTCATTATTAAAATGAAATCTTGGTAGATAAATTACGGTAGGAAAATCTTTTGGTGTATCTGTTACATTACGATAAGAATAATAAAATTTTTTGGTCCACGGATTGAAATTTAAACTCAATGGTTCACCAAATGTTTTTAATGGAAATGGTCGAAGCAAACTAAATAATGCTCTACCACCAAGATCTAAGTCTTTGTTATAATTATATGACAATAGAGAATTGGCCGGATTCGAAGTTGAGTAAATGGATAAATCTTCTCCATTCCATTGATCCCCCCATTGATGATCATTATCATCACAATAATTCCATAGAGTGTAATTAAGTAAATTTGATTCTAAAGCGACAAAGTTAGCATCCATAGCTTTAATTTGTTGAATATAATTTCCTGTTTTATATGCTTTTCCATTTTCCATATCAAATGGAATACCAATTTCACCAATTATGCATGGTATGTTATCTAAATATTTTTCTCCTTCTTCTTTAATTAACCCTAGCTGTTCCGTAAAACTTTGTTTAATTGCTTTGTCTCCTAATTTAATTGCGGGTATAGGTCCCAAATATTTTCCTCTTTTAAGACCTAAATAATCAATATTCCACCAATTAAATTGTTTTTGCACCAATGTTAATCCATCATACCAATGTGGTGAATAAATTAGTCTTTCTTGTGGGTCTTCGGGATTATCAAATTTAGGCGGAATTTCAAGTACGGGTGGTTGTATGAATATTATTGCATTAGGATGAACTGAACGTAATGCTGAAGTATATTTTCTTATAAATGGTTTAAAGCTTTCTTCATACCAATTATACGGTTTATTGTTAATTGGATTCATGGAAAAATAATCAGGACGTAAAAGTTTTCTGGTAGATTTATCCCATACTCCATGTGCCGCCCAAATACATTCGCCACGCGGAAATTCTTCGGATTTCTTCCAATTATAACCTTCGGGATCATTTTCTAACCATGCTGTTTTTCCTTTTGGATCAATATATTCGTTTCCTACTTTACCAAATCCGTACCAAACTATGTCCCATACATCTAATTTACATGGAATTCCCTCTCCTAATAACATTGTTTGAAATGGAGTAGGAGTTTTCCCCCTCCTATATTCTTGAAATTCTGGATATTTATTTAAATCTTCTGTTCCAACCCATCCCCAACTTGGTTCATTCATTGTATCATATCCAACTACAACATTATCCGTTAAATTTTCTTTCGCTATTCTTTCCGCTAATATTTTATATGAATTAATAAAGTGCAATTGTAAATAATCTTGTATGTTCATATCATCAACAATACATTTTGGTGCATATGTTCTTCCCGAATAGAATAACGTAAACATTGTTGACGACGCTAGTTTATAATAATTTGTTGACCATATCATCTTAGGAAATTCTTTTGGTTTATCATATGTATTTTGTACTATTGCTGCTTCAGTTTCCATAAAATTCCTGATATTAAATCCTGCCAATTCAAGCGTCCATCCCGGAGCTCCTGAACCACCTGAAAATCTACTCCACTAATTAATTAAGTGATAAAAGATTGTGAGAAGAAATTCACTTCCAAAAATCACATATTTACTTTATTTTAAAAATTAATAGAAAGCTTACCACGTCTTGATGAGGATCAATGAAGCACTTAAAGCCATATTCTTTGGCTTTATATAAAATTTTTACAATGTAATCTAAAAATTCAGAATCATATTTACCGGGTCCTTCATGTTCTATTGCTTCCCAAGTTACAATAAATCTAAGGAAATTGAATCCCCACTCTTTTAATCGTTGAAAATGTTCATCGGCACTTTCCAACGGAAATGGTCTACCTATAAATCTGGCTTTTTTATGATCAAAAAATTCTTCTGGCTGATGAGAAGGAATTTTTGAGGGATATGAGGGATTTTTTGAAGCACCTGATAAATTTATTCCTCTCAATAATATAGTCCTATTTGAACTATCTTTTATATGTTTACCATCTAGGTAAAGTAAATCATTATTCTCTATATTTATTGTCGCTACTGAAGAAGAAGTTAATAACGATTTTTCTGTTATAGTAGTTCCAGAAATTGTACTTAAAGAATCTTGTCTTAACATTGTTTTAAAAAATTTTTCAAATATATATATATATATTTTTTTTTTTGAGAGGGGAGGATAGAAAAAAAATTGTGTTTTTTTGATATGGTAAATTGACCACCGCCCTTTTTAATACTTTTTCCATACCCCCGAAACTAATTGTTACATTAAAAATACAAGGTTTGGGCTGGCAGAAATTTCATAACTATTATCACATCGTGATTATCCACTGAAAAACAGGTTTTAATACTAGTTAATAAACAGGTTGAATTAACATTTATATTATTGTGGTTAAATCTGACATCACATGAGTTACATAAATGGTGAAATGGAATATACTAATGCGTGAGTAAGGTAACTTTGAAACGAAAGGATTAGACGAAAAAAATTATCAATGATGATGAAGTTTTTTACGCTATTGCTTTGCTTGGTATCTTATTTTGGCTGTGTGCAAGGTACTAATTTTAAAATTTTTCTTTGACAAAATAAAACTTTTAAAAATAAAAATAGACTTATATGCATAAACAAATAAATAAATTAAGCCAATTAATAATTAATCGATTAGTAATTAAAAACTCTCCATTTACCCTTTAGGTTTGTATAGACCAGTTGTATTATGGCATGGAATGGGTGATACTTGCTGCGGTAAAGAAAGTATGATGAAAGTTCAACAAGTGATTAAAGACTTATTACCTGGAATCTATACTTATTCTATTATGTTGGGTGATGATGAAAATCAAGATAAAAAGCTTAGTTACTTTGGAAATATTAATGATCAGGTACAACAATTTTGTTAAGGCTATTTATTTTGCATTTTGAAGAAGCTAATTGTTTTCTTGTAATGATTTGCAGGTGGAACAAGTTTGTCAAACTTTGAAAAATGATGAGAATTTGAAGGATGGTTTTAATGCTATCGGGTTCTCTCAGGTAAATTACAATAGAAAATTCTATACTTTTGTATTTTGACTTTATCTAAATTTTTCTTTTCATGTAGGGAGGTCAATTTCTTCGGTAAAGTTATATTTGAAAATGTGAGATATTCACAACTTGCTTTCACAAAATTCAATACTTACTTTACCTTATAACCTCATCTTAGTGCATATGTACAACGATGCAATGATCCACCAGTACACAATTTAATAACATTCGGATCTCAACATTCTGGTGTATCGGATATACCAGGTTGTTCAAATAATGATAGATTATGTCAGTTAATGAGAACGATTGCGCGTCGTGGTGCTTATTCAAATTATGCTCGTTCTCATATTGTACAAGCCCAATATTATAAAGATCCACAACATTTGGATACTTATTTACAACAAAATATCTTTTTACCCGATATTAATAATGAACTTGATAATAAAAATGAAACTTATAAGACGAATTTGAAATCTTTGAATAAGCTTGTTTTAATTAGATTCACTGAAGATATTACAGTTATACCTAAAGAAACCGCGGTAAGCAGAGGTTATATTTGAGAAAAAGCGAGGGGAATTCTTTTTTTACTTACTCATTTCTTTCATTTCATAGTGGTTTTCTTTTTATAATTCAGAAGGAGTTTTATTGACTCTTCATGAACAACCTCTTTATAATGAAGATTGGATAGGTTTAAAAGATTTAGATGAAAACGGTAAATTAGAATTTAGAGATTGTGAGGGTGCTCATGTAAGTATCAAATTAAGCTTAAGTGAATCCTGACTTTGAGTCACGTTTTTTTTATTCTGACTTTTATTTTTTCTATTTGATTTGTAGATGCAAATATCTATAGAATATCTTCAAGAAGAAATTATTATACCTTATTTAAGTTTTGATATTAGTGGTGAAATAAATAGCAATCTCTATGATAATATTTTTGAGCAAGCTCGAAAGAAATTAAGTTTAAATATTCAAGAATAACCTAAATTATCATCCAAGTTCATATATAGTAACAATATATTGGTACACTGTTTGATTGGAATTTTGGGATCAAATAATTATTATATTTTATAATAATCTTATGTATTTATTTTAATTAGCATATACTCAAAACATTGAAATATACATTATATTTTACGAATTAAACAATATTGAAAATATAATCCCCTGTCGCACTAAGTGTCACTCATGATCACCTTCATACTAAAAATTGCGACTGTTTATAAATAACCGGAATCTTAGTTTACTTATCTCCCGACCTCATATAGATAGCCGGGAATTACTAATTTTAGTTTAAAATAGTATTTAACGCTCCGGGGGATTCCCATTTATTTCATGGGAAGGGGAACATCAGGGGTTTTTTCCCAAAGGGAAAAAACCCTATTATTCCCAACTCCCCATGAAGTAAATCATACTTAAATGGAATGTATATTAGATGTTCCCACCGTATTATTTATTATAAATTAACTACGCAAGAATAATTTTATTTTTATTATTTTTTTTGTCTGATATTGATACAAACAATTAGTTCACATAATAGATGAATGTTCTTTTCTAAGGTTAACTCGACCAAATTTTTCTTACGGATTACCTCAACCCAAACACTATTTCATGGATTATTTGATTCTTCTTTGCACATTTGTCTTTAATCGCATAATGAGATGATTACTTATTCTGTATTATTATTTATCATATAAGAAAAAAGGAGAATTATTGAACATTTTTGATTCTAATTACGCAAAGTAATGAAAACTGGATCTTCCTTCTATACCATACTTTTTAATCAATTTCCTATTATATAATTTTGAAACTCCTAATAACCGAGTAATATTAAAATAGTTGTTCCAGTGATCCATAATATTTGATAGCAATATGATTACCAATCTTATTATTTCAAAATAAAAAATCATAACGTTTAGAATTGATCATACTTTAAAAATAATATTGTAACAAATTGATTAATTACCATAATAATTCATGAATATTCCAAGTTATGCCAACCTTGTTAAAAATGGTTTATAACGTAAGTATAAACATTTAACCCTTATAAATTGAGAAATTCGTTTAAGGAGTTAGCTGTAGAAGTTTTGCAAAGAGAATAGGTTTGTTTGCTAATGAAGAATTAAGATATGCCAGGCAAGCTGTTAATTAAATAGTGTAACTCGCTGAAATCTAACAAAGATAATATGTTTCATATTCTAATGTGAAATTGCTGAAATGTTGTTACGTTGTCACAAATAGAAAAAACAATCTAATTATTTCGTACGTTAATAGTACAGTACGTTAATCAGTTATTTTATACCTTCATTCACACATAGTGGCTTTCATATCGATAATCTACTTAATAAAACGTGACTAGAATATGACCCAATCATCGATCACTCGGAAAAAAAAAAAAGTTTTCAATTAAATAAAAATCATTAAAATAAAAAATTATTTCTTCCTTTCTCCTGGAATCTGACGTATTCCTCTATTTAAAATGTAAGAGATTTTTTTTTTTTTTAAAGGAAAAAAAAAGTAATGATTTATCTATTCTTTTTCATCGTATTTATTTAAATGGGTTGAAGAAAAAATTATGTATAAATTTTTTTTTTTTAAAAAAAACTGATTATTTATTAAAGTTTTCTTAACTAACAAATATATTTTTATTTTAAATAAAAAAAAAAAAATTTATTTGGATATGGGATAACATTTGATTAAAGGGCAAATTTGAGGAGTCAGAAAAGGTTGGCCTCTAGCGTGCTTGGGTGCGGCAAAAGAAAAGTTTGGCTTGACCCAAACGAAGTATCCGAAATCTCTAACGCTAATTCTCGTGAGTTAATATTCAAAATTGATTTCATAGAGTTATATATAGAAAATGAAAAGGTTAACAAATTATAATGTAATCGGATCTGAATGTTAGTTTATACAAAAGAATTTTTTATATTATATAGATCTAAAAAGAATTTGATCTAGTTTAATCTGAATTATATGGATTGCAATTCAGATAAAAAAAATCATTCAATTCTTTTTTTTTTTTTTAATCAAATTTTTCTCTCTGTTTCTTTCTGATAATCAATCAAAGAAAAAAAAATTATCTTTCTTTTTAACAAATATTCTTCAATTTAATAATTTTATAGGACAAGACGTCCGTAAACTCATAAAGGATGGTTTAATTATAAGAAAGCCACAAACAATTCACTCTAGATTCCGTGTTAGAGAACAATTAAAAGCTAAGCGTAAAGGTCGTCATACTGGACCTGGTAAAAGAAAAGGTACTGCTAATGCGCGTATGCCTCATGGTGTATTATGGATGAGAAGACAGCGTGTTCTCAGACGTTTGTTGAGAAAGTATCGTGAAGACAAAAAAATTGATAAGCATTTGTACATATATTTATATATATATATATATATTAATTATACTATATTTTATTAATTATAATAATAATATTTTTTCCCTAGATACCATCAATTATATATGAAATCTAAGGGTAACGTCTTTAAAAACAAACGTGTGTTGATGGAATACATTCATAAAGCTAAGGCTGAAAAAACTCGTTCCAGAATGCTTGCGTACGTATTTTCATAATGGTTTGTTTTTTCTTAAAACATAGAATGATAATATCTATTTTATAATTTAATAGCGACCAAGCTGAAGCTCATCGCCAAAAGGCTAAAGCCGCTCGTGAACGTCGTGCTCAACGACAGGCTCAAAAGAAGGCTGATTTACTTGGTTTAAACAAAGAGCCTGAAGAAGAAGAAACTCCTGTACATGAAAGTACATGAAAAAAAATTTTTTTTTTGATGTACCGTATATTTAGTAAAATGTATTGATTTATCGGAATAATTCCATGAGTGTAGAGATTCTTTCAAGGATCAATTTTTTTTTGTAATTCAGTAGCCATTAGTTATCCAGAATTAACCTTCTAGTTTATCCAAGGAATCAAATATAAAAATAAAAAAAAAATTCGATTAAATATTGGTTTTTTTTTATTTTATATCGAGATTAAATAATAAAAATTACAAGTAATTTAAATGAAATTTAGTTTATGATTCGGATATAACATAGGCGTCGCAAAATATAGATAATAATAATTTTTATCTATCTTTTTTTAACTCATGGATCCAAATACATAATTATGTCTACAAATACTTGGTCCATGTTCTTCGTATTCTGCTTTTGTGTGACAATACCGATAGAAATCAGGCTATCATGAAAAAAAATATATATAAATTTAATTATTTGATATTTTATACAAAATACAAAGTTTTAGAAAAACGTACCGTTGATCCTAGCATAGAACCACCGAACCAGACTGCATAACGTTGTTTCTTGTGCGATATGACATTTACTTCTATTGGTGTGGACTTCAGTGTGCCACCACTTAATGTCTCGCTTCTCTTAACACGAGCATCAGTTGTACGCTTTATGTCTCTTTGAAGGCGTTTACCAAAATCCTTAAACATGGTAGATCCACCCGAAAGTACAATATTCTACAACAACGGAAAGAAAATTTTACTTAGATAGAACTTTTAGTATAAGGAGGAAATTTTGAGATACGAACCTTGTATAAACCACGTCTAACATCGATTGGACAACTTTGAATAACATTATCAACAACTTCAGGAAGTGGTGTCAAGAAATCAGATGATGCTATTTCTGGATTGAAAAATATTTCAGGCCCTAGGAAACGTTCAAAACCAACATCAACTTCATAAGGCTAATAAAAAAAATTTAAAATTTGTAAGAATATATGGAACAATTTGAAATATTAGTTAAAAGATCGCAACAAACCTGGCCAGTCACACTATGTATTCCTTGATATTTTTCGAAATATTTATCTCCTTCCTGATCATATTTTTTGAATTCCTTAACAATATCTGGACATACATATGAAAATTGTTCTTTTATACGTTCAGCCACTTTCAAAGAATCTTCTGGAGGAATTGAAGTTTCATTTCGATCACGAAGAAGTTGTTGAACAAAATACGTAATATCACGACCAGCAATTGGGATATGTTTAATAGATGATCCGACAACATACCCTTCGGCCTTAAAAATAATGTTGGACTTAGTAACTAATTAAACTATATATTATGGACACAAAAAAAAACTTACCACAGGAATTACGTGAGTAACACCATCACCACTGTCAATAACTGTTCCGGTTAAAACTTGACCAGAAACTTTGTTAGAAGTCCAACTGGCAGCCAAAGCTAGTACAGCTTGTACAGCAATATATAGCCCTTGAATATTGAACGATTCGAACATAATTTCGGCAGTCTGTTCACGATTTTCTGGAGCATTAAGTGGAGGTTCTGTCTATACAATTTGAATACAGAATATTAATAAATCAACTAGTTATTAAAATTTCAAATTGATTAACTTACCATTAGGAAATAATGATCTTCTGGTTCACACCTTAAATATTTGAAAATACTCTGTTCCCAAAATCGTTCCATTTGATCCCAGTTATCGATTTGACCATGTCGAATTGGATAATGCAAACCATAAGTTTTTGAATTTGCAAGCGCTTCATATCCAATGAAAAAATCTAAATCCTCGATACCACGTTTAGAGGCTAAAAGATTTGAAGGCTTTGAAGGCATAGCAGGACCGGAAGTGCCTGTTCCTGCAGAATCGCGCGTTGCAATGACAGTAGGAAAGACAAATGATGGTATATTATTGCCCGCGAAACCTAACTTTGTGTACCTGTTTTAAATAAAATTTTCACTGGTTAGGTTAGGAAATTAATAAAAATCAAAAATATATATTATTTAGCACTAACCCAGTCCCATTGTCCATAATTACTGGCGGAAGTCTCGACATGGTTACTATAACTGAACAGTCCTATTAAATTATATTTAACAAATTACCTGACCAAAGAACTTTGCTCGTTAAAAACGGATCAAAAAAATTTAAATATAGATTTAGTGACTGACAAGTGTAACAATAATGCAGATCATCAGAGATAAAAAAATGATTAATTTCAAATTTCGTGTCATTAAAGTTAAATAATGCCTCAAGATGTTGCGGATAGTGAGTTTTACGTCACATATAATTATATTAAAGAACGGTTACCAGCTGAACTTTCGCAGCCTAAAGTAGCTATTATATGTGGTTCTGGACTTGGAGGTTTGGCTGATACTATTGATGAGACAAAGTGCAAAAAGGTTGAGTTTAAGTATGAAGACATACCTGGTTTCGTTACTAGTACAGGTTAGAAGCATAAGTAGAATTCTTTTAAAGAATGTGAACTATTGAATGCACGATATAAAATGCCTAGCTCTATCAATTCTTCACAGTTCAAGGCCATGTGAGTAAACTAGTATTTGGTTTACTTGGAAAGAATCAAACTCCAACGGTTTGCATGGTTGGAAGATATCATTTCTATGAGGGACACTCTCTCAAACAAGTCACATTACCCGTTCGGATATTTAAACTTTTAGGTGTTGAAGTTTTAATTGGTAAGTGATGGATAGGGTTAATATAGATGGACATGTTACCAAATTATTATTTTTTATTATTGATGAAATTATTTTTTGCTGATTTCTCAAAAAACAGTTACCAACGCGTCTGGTGCGCTCAATAAAGATTTTCGGGTTGGAAAAGTGGCAGTACTTACTGACCATATATCTCTTCCTGGTCTAGCAGGTAATAACCCATTATTTGGGCCGAATCTTGGCATGTTTGGACCGCGGTTTCCACCCATGACAGACGTGTATGATTATGACCTTCGGGTTCTAGCTTTTAAAGCAGCATCATCTCTTAAATTTGATGAGGGAACTTTGAAGGAAGCTATATATTGTTTTGTTGGTGGACCTTCATATGAGACCAAAGCTGAAGCTCGATTCCTGAGGACGATTGGTGGGGATATTGTTGGAATGTCTACTGTACCAGAAGTAATCGTAGCGAGACATAGTGGGATTCGTGTATTGGGACTTAGTCTCGTGACCAACATGGTTGCATTGAGAAAAGACAAAAGTGCAGACCCTTCAGCGAGTGTTATTGAAGAACCTGAAGAACCACCACCAAAGCATGAGGAAGTATTAGAAGTTAGTAAGGCCAGAGCTCACGACATGCAGAACTTGGTCAAAACAATTGTTGGATTAATTTAATAAATCATATATGTTTATGTACTACTATGAATGTTCTTGTAATCATTGTAATCAGTTACTGTAAAACGTGTAAATATGTTTAAATAAATAATTATTCAAAAAATTGATGCAGAGACGTTATTATTATTTGTACATTAACCAATAAATAATTTTGCTATTGTTTTTCAAATTTTAATAATAATAATTTATTAATTGTTATCTTATTAGTTCTTTTTCAATTTTGTACAACGAACCATCTCGATCTCGAAGAATAACGTTTTGTTCTTTTCCTACAGTTTTAAATTTAAACTGAAATCTTTGATTTGTTTCTTTTTCATCACGTCCAACTAAAGTCATAATTTGTTCATCTTTTGTTGAATTTTCTTCTAAACTAAAGGGTTTAAGTAATTCTTCCTGATGTTCTTTTTCCTGTATTTTAGCTAAAGTTGGACGACGTAATATTTTAGCCGCATCCTAGATCATAAAGTATATCCGACATGTTAGATAATTTAATAAAACAGAACAAATTAATTCATGAATTTAAGTTACCTCCGGCGAAAAATCTTGATTTTCGTCAACTGTTTCAAAATTTGGTACTCCAACTTTGGGTAATGTATCCGTTAAAGGCTCAGCACAAAAAGAACGTGCACCCAACATTTTTTCAATATTTTCGCTTAAATTTTTTTGTAAAGTGATGCCCTTTTTTCAGGAAAAAGAAAAAAAAAAATACATAAGAATTAATCATCAATTAATAATATCTATTAAATTCATTGATATGTTATATATGTTATTATTTTCTCAGTAATTATTTGGCAATTTATAACCATATTTTAGTGTCTTCAAGACTAATCGTTATTTTTTTTTATTTTTTGACATCATCGACAATTATGATAACCCCGTTAAGAACCGATAATGGAAAATTATAATTAAATAAACATACTTTCTTGCCCATATCCTTTTCTAACTTTTTTAACTTTAAAATTGCTTCAACTCTTTTTAATGAAACTCCATAATCAGTACCGATTTTACGCGGAGTTTGTCCTTCCTGTGTAAATTTCAACCATATTTCTTCTTTAGTACTATCGCTTAATGGGGGCTGAGGTTTAAAGAAAGGATTCATAGGGAAAGGCTACTAAAACATTTGATAAAATGAGTGATTATTTAAAATTCATTAAAAAATAAATATATAGTTATAAAAAAAAAACTCACTATGTTCGAACCGAGATAGTTTGGTCTATCATAAGAATCAGTAAAATTCTTTCCTTCGTTAACTAGCCATATCTTATATTTAGGACGACGAATTCTACTGGGAGCTTTTGGGGCTTCTGGTTGAGTAGTATCATCAACTTTTTCCTTTTCTTCTTTAGAAGGAGGTGGTGTTGTTGTTGTTTTGTCCTTATTGTCCTTATTGAATAGTGTAGGTGTAGAGTGATAAGTTCTTTTATGGTTATAACAAAGTGAACAAAGTATTGAACTCTTGGTATATACGGAGGTAGGAATTGACACTCGTCTTGCAAAAGTAATCGATATTATGCGCATTTTGTTTTTTTTTTTTTAAAAAAAAAAAAATCAGTTAAGATGGACGATTAACTAAGCCACCGGAATTTTATTTATTAATAGAATTTATAGGTTAACAATTATTTAATTATGCAAGTAATAACCGGCAATAGCTCAGTTGGTAGAGCGGGAGACTGTAGTGCAACTGTTATCTCTAGGTCGCTAGTTCAAATCTGGCTTGCCGGACTTAAATTTTCTTTTTTTTTCAAAGCGAGCCGCAGTAAGATCTGCAATTACACGCTAATCTCTTTCATCTTAGATAAATTAATAAACCTATTATGAACACTTGATCTCTGAAGCGAGGAGAGTGAAGCCAAAAACAAAAAGAACAAATATTTTTCGTGCTTATTCATTCTACATGAATACTAAATGGTATACTCGTAAATGTACAGGCCCTTACGAATAATTTCTTTATTAGCACAGTGTTCTAATACTTTGATTAATACAACGTTACCGAAAGTTTACAGGATATAATTAAAATGTTAAGTGACTTAAGTCATTATATTTATGAATATTTTTAATTCACCTAAGAATAATCATAAAACTTTATTTTAAAAATTTTAAAATAAAAATACAATATTATATATATATATAAAAATGAATAAAAAAAAAAGGTAGATATACAACAAAAAATAATTTCTAAAAATTTTACAATTCTGAAATATTTTCAGATTGATTTACGATAAATGTAAAAAGTTCAAAGGGTACCTGAATATTCCGTTTCAATGTCATTGACATTAAGACGATATTGATTTAAATTAATTTCATTTGCTTCTTTAATTTGTTCATTAAGATCTGAATTTTGTTGTTGTATTTTAAGGTATAATTCATTTAATAAATGTTCTAATTCAACTGCATTAGGTCGTTTTAAAGGTTCTGCATCCCAACATTGATTAATAATATCAAAAATTAGTTGAGGAATTTTATAATTAGATTTCGGTCTCAATCCTTGACAAATTTTTATATCTAAAAATTCATCATTGGCCATATCGTTATAAGGAGTCATTCCTGTACAGATTTCATGAGCAATAATTCCAAAACTATAAATATCACTTGCTTTAGTATATTCTTCTCCTCTTAAAACTTCAGGAGCTACATATGGTAAAACTCTATGTATTTTTATATTATCATTTTGAGATTTTACATTTGCTGGTTGACATAATCCTAAATCTGCAATTGTAAGTTTATGTAAATGACTTAATATGTTGCTACAATGAAGATTATTATGAATTAATCCAATATTATGAATTGCTTTAAGACCACATGCAATACTTAATAAATTTTGCAATTTTTGATTCCATTTCAATGAATTAAAATTATTATTTAGGTATTGTCTTAAACTACCATTTTCTGCATATTCCAATACCATCATAAAGTCATCTGATTTTGAATTTTTAGTAAGACCATAGCAATGAACTATATAAGTCGAACGATTCAATAAAACATGAGATTCAACCTAAAATAAAAATTTATAAAATATTTAATTAACATTTTATTGTACAAAAAAAAAGATTAATATTATAAGATTAACTTACTTCTCTTAAGAGTTCAGCTGTCATATCTTGTGAATTATAAAAACATTTTAAAGCAACAGGATAATCCTTATTTTGATTTTTCCAAATTGCTTTATAAATAGTCCCAAATCCTCCCTTGGATAGATTTTCAATATTTTCAAATTTATCATATTCAATCCATTGTATTACTTCATCTCTATTTTTAGCTAAAAGTTGATTTTTTTGAATAAATTTATCAATATCATTATTTCCACTAGTCCAATTTATAAAATTTTTTTGAAAATTTTTAGAATTACAAGAATAACACCAATCAATATCAGTATTAGGTTGTTTACATTCTTTACATAAATCACATTTTTTATAACATTCTTTTAATTTTTCGTTTAATATTAATTTATCAATTAACGATTCTTGTTCTTTGGTTAACTTTTGATGGTTAAAACCTTTTATTTGTTCAATTACATCATTGTTGAGCTTAATTTCTTCCATATTGAACGAATGATTTATTGAATTAAGAATGTCAATGTTATTGATTTACAGTATTTTTTTTTTTTTTTAAAAAAAAAAAGAAGAATCTTGTTTTGTTTTAAAGAGAAAAACTTATAATTACCACGACCTTTTATAAGGTAAGTTTACACATCGCACAGCAATGATGTTATGAAAACAAGATTAATAGCCACAGAGGCACAATGGATACGCCTTTCATATATTTTGGCGTATGCGAATATGCAGGCTTTATCTCATAAAGGGAATCTATTGCAAATAAGCCTCAAAAGCCACATCGTTAATGAAAAAACATGATCATTAAAAGTCAGGCCCATAATAAAAGGATGCCACAAAACATGCAAGGCGTAAACCTATAAAAATGTGTGATGATGATCAAAAATTATTAAAATATGTACTAAACCATTTTAAGGTGAAAAGAACGACAATGAATGAGATCATGACGATCATAACTTCCCAAACGCGCGGTAATTATTCAAAAAAGAGGTTTTTAGAACATTAACCTTTTTGGCTGTGAAGGAAAATTTTGTTACTAATTTGGTCAAATAAGAAAGATTTTAAATAATAATTTTTTTTAATAAAGAAAACAATGTGGCTTTCTAATAATGTTAGTTTTGTCCTTTAATATTATAATTATTTGAATCAGGAATTATGAGATGAAGGAATATTGGATTACAGAGTGTTTGGGGACAATGGTGAAATGATTAGACTAAATCGTAATAATTACATCGCTGACGCTCTTAAGATTTTGAGTAACGAAGGAATTTATATATGTGATCACAAAGTAAAGAACAAGATAATGGTAGTCATATTGAAATAAGACAAATAATTTTGTCGAAGAAAGATTATTACAGGGCACGAATTTCTTGTAGTAATAAAGAAGTCTTATTTTTAGAACAATTATTAGAGGCGGATCAATTAAGACTAATGAAATAGAAACATTTTTGTATGGGAATGGTAAAAGTATTAAAGGAAAGATTCCGAAGTTTAGAAGAAAAAGTCACGTTACAGGACAGCAGATATCAGATATCTAAAGGTTATTAAAAATTTTTTCAAAGATAGAATTGATATGCGACTTTTTGATGAAAATAAGAAGATGATATAATTACTTGAACTGAAAATAATATTATTAATTTTTGCATTGATAAGAAAGTAAAGAATAGGATATCACTTGATTCTGGAATCACCTTTTTAATAATGAAGACGAATCTTCAAGATTAGTTAAATGTAAAGGTTGCGAGAAAAAATATTAAGAGCATTAAAAAGAAGGGTTCAAATGATGAAATGTGTTTAAAATATTTTAATAATAGTGTCAGTAGAGTTATTAAAAAACGAGCGGAAGGCCACGTGATCAAACCTTTTGAAACGTTAAGAAATATTAGAGCTAAAAACGATTTAGTAATGAACATGTCGTTAGAGGAGAAAGTAGACGAAGTGTATAATGCAAGAATAGAGGCAATAGATAATTTGGTAGTAGGTAATAATGAAATTATTAGATATTTTAAAAAATAGTTTAATAGAAAGAGACGATCTTGATTGTTTGGAAAGAAAGAAAAAATATTTAATCGTTGAACACAAACAAATTAAAGAAAAAGTAGGAGGTAAAAGAGAAAGTAAATATTTAATTATATAGTTAATCAGAGATAATTTAGAAGCAAGCGATAATGAAATTTGAAGGACACGATTAGTAGTATGCTACACGGTATTATTTGTGAACTGTCAATAGAAAATAATACTATTAAAACATCCGAGAAAGTAGAAGCATTGATTTTTAATTTTATAAATTTGGAAATAAAAGTCGTAGATTAGATGAACGTCAGTAACGAAGAATATGTTGAGGTAATAAGAATCATAAAATATGTTAATGATTGGAATAAATCTTTATTCTTCATTAGCAATAGAAATAAATTTTCAAAGCGACAAACGAGCATTGGAACGTTCATATAAAATAAAAATCTACCTACGTATTAATTATGTAATCTATTTTTGATTTAAATGATTAATAAAATGCGTTACTAATTAAAAAGAAAAAAAAATTATGAGAAGAATTGGAAATAAAAATTATTTAATAAAGGATTAAAAAGAACAACGTTTTTAGAAGAAATATGCCAAACGATTTGTTTGAAATTTAATCACAAGAAACGCTTAATTCGATTTAAGAATTAATAATGATAATAGTTCGGATTTGACGTCACTAAAATATAGAATCTCAGATTTAGACAATACTTTGATGCGTAATAATAAATATTATTAAAAGTTCTCGTCCAAAAATTTGATTATAAATATTTACAAGAAAATTGATTAATTATGTGTAGAATTAGTATTATAATGTGCTAACTATCTTTGCATCATTTAGTTGTATTATTTAATACAAAAATTGCCATTTATTGATGAAAATTAACAAAATGTAAAATTGATGTTTATCCTTTACACCCGTTAATAGATGAAAGTCTAATAAATAGTAGTTTTAAAAAAATGCTTTACAATTAGTAGTTGGATACGTGAATTTAATGATGATAAGCCTTCAGTTATCTATCAGTTTAAATACTAGTTTCTTGCGATTAGATTTTAAAGAAGAAAATTCAAGAATTAGTGCTTGTGGTCGATAAACTAAGTCATTATCCAATTTATCAGTCGTTATTGTCTTATTGAAAACAAGAATTTATCAATTTATATCAAATAATTTACTTTTTAAGCCGGGATAGTTACTATAATAGTCAAATAACACGTCCTCTTATTGATTCTTACATTTTAAATCAATATATACTGTAACTTTCTGTAGAATATATAGCAGTTTGTGAAGTAAGTTAATATACTGTATTTCCTTAAATATATAAATATAATTTTTTAAACATATAAACTAAATACAGTACAAATATAAAATTTAAGGTTAAATTTGATAATAAATAAAATTTTTCTTTTACATCATTTTAATATTCATTTAATTACGTTCATAATATTAACTATGTAAATAAAGAATTTAAGCGCAATCTTTGGAATTGATATTGAGTTTGGTAAAATCAACTTTTATAGATTCTATATATATAAAAGGAAATAAATATTGTAATCAAAAATATGTTTTAATAAAACAAATTAAACTTATATAATTACCTGAATATTCTATTCCGTTACTATTATCAACATTTTTTGGTTCTGGAAGGTTTTTATAATCTAAAAGTCTGCTTGTATAAATTGCTTGAGAATGTGATGTATACGAGAGTGTATTTGTAGAAGTTAATGGTAATTGAACTGTTGAAGATAACTTTTTATTAATTTCATCTGCTTTTTTAACTTGCCAATAAATTATAGAATCCCTTTTCTCTAAATTAATATCACAATATAAACTATACATTAACTCCTTTATTTCATCTGCATTAGGTCGTTTCAAAGGGTCTGCATCCCAACATTGATTAATTATGTCAACAATTAGTTGAGGGATTTTATAATCACATTTTGGTCTCAACCCATTACAAATTTTCATAGCTAAGAATTCATCATGAGCTATATCATAATAAGGAGGGAAACCTGTACAAATTTCATATGCAATAATTCCGTATCCATAAATATCACTTGCTTGAGTGTATTCTTTTCCTTTTAAAACTTCTGGAGCTACATAAGGTAACACTCCATATATTTTTTTATTATTATTTTGAGAGGATTTAGCATTCGCTGGTTGACATAATCCCAAATCAGTAATACAAGCATTATGAAAAGTGCTTAATATATTCCCACAATGAAAATCATGATGAATTAATCCTTGATTATGAATATCTTTAAGACCAGATGCAATACAAAATAAGCGATACAACTTTTCCTCCCAATTCATTGAAATGAAATTGTTATTTAAATATTGTCTTAAACTACTATCTTTTAATTCCATCACCATCATAAAATTATTTGTTTTTGGATCTTTGGTAATACCAAAACAACGAACTACCTTACCAGTACTATATGTACTATATACTAAAATATTTGATTCAACCTTAAAAGAAAATTATAGTTAGTTTAATATTTATAAAGGTTAATGAAGATTTATAAGAAAATATCAATATCTTACTTCTTTTAAAAAATCTGCTGTAATACCTTGTGAGTCATGTAAGCACTTTAAAGCAACTTTTGTTTTACCATTTCTTATCAATTGACCATTATTATTTCTATAATTTCTCTCCCGAGTCCAAGGACCATCTTTCCAAACTGCTTTAAAAGTAGTTCCAAATCCCCCTTTTGCTAAATATTCAATATCTTCAAAATTATCATATTCAATCCATTCTATAACTGACCGATTGTTTTTAGCGTTTAATTGTGCTTTTTGAATAAATTCATCAATGTCATGATTTCCACTTGTCCAATTTTGAAATTTTGTTGAAAATGTTGATATAGACATGGTAGACAATCATAATAAGAATTACTTTTAGGCTGTTTACATTCTTTACATAAATCATATTTTATATAACGTTCTTTTAATTCTTCATTTGTTATTAGTTTATGAATTAACGATTTTTGTTCTTCAGTCAAATCATAACGATCGAACTCTTTTATTTGTTCAAATACATCATCAGTTAGTTTAATTTCATCCATTTTAATAAATAATTTATTAAAAAAATATGTTATGAATTCGTATGTAAAAATTACTAAAAAATAATAAAGGAAAAGAAAAAAAGTGGTGAAACATTATTTTATGTTTCAATGATTTCAAGATCGGCAACAAAATTATCAAAAAAAGACTAGTTAAAATAACACACTAATTCAATTTTCAATAACATGTTTAACTAAATATAGTAAGTACTAAGTTTTAAATATATTTCCTTTTTCACCTTTTTTTACGTTGTTCAGGTAATTCACCAAATATTTCTTTAAAAAACATTTGGATTACAGTATTAACAAAATTATACATTATATTCATGGAAAAACTGATGCTTTATATACCTTCACACATATAAAAATAAGTATGGCAGCAGCATTATAAATAAATTTTTTTTTTTAATAGAATTAATAATTACTAATAAAAAAGAGAAATATTAAAGAAAGTATTAATTATATAACAAATAAATTTCTTTTTGGCCGGGTATGTTTTTTTATTTTTAAGTGAAAAAAATATATTTAGAGGTAAAAAAAAAAAAAAAAAAAATAGAAAATAAAAAATAAAAATCGGAAAGGTACTCACCGCAGCACCGCAACAACAAATTTCTCCGCGACGCAGCAAAAATGATTGGCTGATTGGGAATTGTTCTTTTTTATTTACCGACGCTGGTGAATTGTATATCTTTTATTGAGAATCGAATAAAATCATTATTAAAAATTTTTTTTAAAAAAATGAGTTCATTATAACCGTTAATTTTTTTTTTATTTTTTTCAAGCATTTATCATGAATGGTAAATATAATTCCTTCAAATATGAAAATTTATTATTTAAATTCACTTTATCAATCCATCTCGAAATAATCGAAATAATATTTAGATTAATAATTTCTGTACCAATAATCCTATCAATTTTTATATTTCTAAGAAGTGAAATATTATTGTCATTTGGTACAATATCAGGATCCATATATGAATTCAAAAAATTTTCATAAAGTTGTTGTTTTAAAAGTTTCTTATACGGTCGAACTTTATGTAAAAATTCTTTTGATGATAAGCTATAAAACCTAATTAAAGTCTGACAAGTATCAGGTTTTGGAATAAGAGTTTGATTTTGTGCGAATCCCATTTTAACATCCCAAACTTCATCTATGAAATCAATATTTTCTTCAGGTAACGAAGTAAAATCAAGTGATTTAAATATTTTTCCGGAAGACTTAGCCATAAAATCCATGCAAAATTTTTGGATTTCTGACAAATTATTAGATTGAAAACTTATTCGATGTATAAATTCAAAATGTTGCTCTGTCCATTCGAGTCTGTTTTCAATAAAATAGGTTAGCAAATAATCAATTAATTCTTGAAGAAGAAGTTCATCAGCAACAATTAAGACTTTAAAATATCTTTCCGGTGATATATTTGATAACTTAATATGAGTTAAAGTATTATCATTGATCATTCTTTTTTTTAGAAACCAAAGATCATCATAAAAAAGGAGAACGAAAATGTTGATTCGGATTGTTTAATATGTAAAAGGAATTCATAAATATCAGCAAATGTGCTATCTTTATCAGTAAATACACATCACAAATACAGAAATACAACAATGAAATCAGAAAAATTCAAATATTTATGAGAAATCAATTAGGCGTGCTCTATATACCTTTTGACTTTGAACAAAGCTAAAAACTGGATATGAAGAAATGATAAAATCATTATCTAAAAAAATAAAATTTTTCTAATTGTCGTTGCTATCACCGATCCAATAAATAATAATTTATACAAAATATATACATAAAATAAATTACTGTATAAAAAAAAACTTAGAGTCAGTTTTAAAAAGAAAGATGGAAAGAAAAAATTAATAAAATCTCGGGTTAAAAACCGGGAAAAAAATATCATTATTGGAAAAAATTCAGTTTGAAAAAAAATATTGTTATCATTAAAACCTTGTTATCATTAAAAAAGGGTCTAAAAAAGACCGATAAAAAATGGTACTAAAAACAAGAGACCAAAAAAATATATTGTTATTAAAAAATTAAAAAAAGATTGTAAAAAAAATTTAGTAACGCATTTTTAAATTTGTTATGAATATAAAAGAACGGTAGGTAGGTAGCAAGTAACGGAAATTGGCTAAGTAAGTAACGTAAAATTACTATTTTAGGTCAATTTAGGTTACTCCCTTATAATTATATAAGACACGGAACGTAAAGTCAATTATATTTACTTTACGTTACTCCCCTTATATAGGTACTAAAACATCATCTGGGGTTTTTTTTCAAATATGTCACATGATGTACAATATATAAAGTAATTTATTAATCGACTGATGGCTGCTCAGCTAATTTTTGATTGGATAAACTGAACTTAAAATTTTATTTTTAAAAATTTTTTTTGCAAACATATTTATTCAAAATAATCTTATTTAAATATTAAAATTTAAGTCCCACATTTTCGATTTTAAAGATAAAAATCACTGTATTTATTTTTAATGAAGTGATACAAATAAAAAAACAATAACATAAATAAAAAAGATAAGTAAATTACAATGATCAAGGAGAAAGATGCTAATAAAAAAGATGAAATAACAATGGAGTAGTGGAAAGTAATAGAAGAAGAAAGGGAGTAAAAAGGAGTAATGAGAAGTGATAGGAAATAAAAAGGAGAAATAGGACAAGATGGATGATGAAAAAGAGTGATGGGAGACGAAAAGAAGTGATGGGAGTGAAAGGAGTGATGGGAGACGAAGAGGAGTAACGCGAGACAAAAATAGAAATAATGGAAAATGAAAAGATGTAATAGAAAATAATGGGAGACGAATAATGAAGTAATATGAGGTGAAAAATGATGAGAGACAAAAAATAAAAAAATGATCATGATAAGAGATTGGGTAATGATAGGAAACCAAGTAAAAATAAAAAAAAATGAAGTTAGTAAGAAATGAAACATAAGATAAAAACGAAATAAAAAAGAATAAATAAAAAAATAAATAAAAAAATGAGTAAGAAACGAAACGTAAAGTGAACCTTAATTACAGAACTGGAAGGACTAAAGGACCTAAAAATGATGAAATAGAGTTAGTAAGAAACAAAGTGTAAGCAGAATGTAAATTAGAAATAAAAATAAAAGAAAAGAAAATTACCTTGAGACCGAAAGAACTGAGGAAAAGAACCTATACTAAAAACGAGATTCGATAAACAAATAAACATGACGCGATCATGTGGCCAATTTGGCCAATCAATAATATTAAATCCGTCAAGTATTTACAAAAAAATTTACACTCTGTACTTTATATATTAAAGAGAAGAACGTAATAGATCATGTGACTTTACGTTACTTAGCCAATTTCCGTTACTTACTTTCTATATATTCCTTTCTATCAACGTCGGTCAATTTTCCTATATGTTATATTGATTTTTTTTAAAAAAATAATCACGGTTATCAAAAACAACTTGCAAGGGGCTCAGCATAGGCTTTATAGCACTAGCTGTTATAAGGATGTTAAAAACTTGAAGACATTGTTAAATCATATAGGGGTCACCAAAAACTAAACCTAGTTATTATATTTTAAAGGACTTGAAATATAAAATTTTATTTGTTATCACTAAAAAATTTTATGATTATAAAAACTGATATTTAATACAATATTCTTAATTCTCGACTAATTGAAAAGCCCAGAGGTCATTATACGTCTCAGTATATGGGTACAAACGAACATCTTGACCATCATGAAGTTCTCCACCTGCCCAAGCATTTAAATTTAATTCTTTTTTTTTTCTCGGGAGTATGCCTCGAAACACGCCATCCTAAGAATAAGGATAAACGATTAATCTAAAAGTTAAATAGGTTAAAATCAATATACAGTAAATAATTTATAATATTACTTTTATATCGCCGAGTAACCAATCAGTTATTACCATAGTCAGATGGGACGATGGAAGAGGCTTCCTGGAGTTCTTCTGCCTTCATGGCCATTCCAAGCCCTTTGTTGATCAAGACAACCCTGTCCTTTCCTAATAGATAGTTTATTCAAAAATTAAGAAAAGGAGAAAAAAAGATTAATCGGACTGACGAAAAACCTGGATATACTATAAAAGTTATATATCTAAACCCGTACTTACCATTCTCGGCTCCAAGCCATTTAACTTCCCACTGCGCATTGTCACTATCCTTATTACTGTGAAGTTTCAAGGTTGAATTCTTATTTTCAAAATACAAAGAAAGTTTATCATTTCCCTTCGGAACTATATTGAAATAAATACCGACGTTCATTTTCTAGAGAAAACAATGAATAAATTGGTTATTGAATATTGGTAGAAAGCGTAAATTGGATATACTGTACATTAAGTACAAAGTATTTATATCTTTTACCAGTATAGTATTGTATACAAACAGGAAAACTCTGTCTTGTAAAATTCTGCGAATTCGACTCCTAGATATACAGTATCTTAAACACACTTGGCGCATGATTATTTGTAATAACACTAGCGGCACTCGTATCTTTGAGCACAAAATAATAATTCCTAAATCTTCATTATAGACAACATGATCATTGATCAGTAAATATAAAATTATAATAAAATGTAAGAGGAATGCTGGAATTTACAATAAAATGATTATAAGGTATTATTAAGTAAATTTGTGCATCCGTAATTTTCACAAAAAAAAATTTCAGTATAAAATGTAAAGATTAGGAATTTACAATAAAATATTATAAGGTATTATTAAGTAAATTTGTGCATCCATAATTTTTCACATAAAAAAATTTTCAGTATAAAATATAAAGATTAGGAATTTATAATAAAATGATTATAATGTATTATTAAGTAAATTTGTGCATCCGTAATTTTTCACAAAAAAAATTTTCAGTATAAAATATAAAGATTAGGTATTTACAATAAAATGATTATAATGTATTATTAAGTAAAGTTGTGCATCCATAATTTTTCACATAAAAAAATTTTCAGTATAGAATGTAAAGATTAGGAATTTACAATAAAATAATTATAATGTATTATTAAGTAAATTTGTGCATCCGTAATTTTTCACTAAAATGATTATGATGTATTATTAAGTAAATTTGTGCATCCGTAATTTTTCACATAAAAAATTTTCGATAACTTTTGTACAAGTAACCAACTCGTTGTTGTCATCAACAGTATATTGCCATTCATATTATTAGATCAATTAGATCTGATCAAAAATATAAAGATAATCGATAAACTGGCCAATTGTTACATTATTTTTAACTATACTAAATCTATTATATCATACTTTGTATAACTGATAAGCAATTACACAGTGAAATTCGATAAACCGGATCTATCGGTTCCGCTAAAAATATCCGGTTTATCTGGATATCCAGTATATCGAAAAAACTGAAAATCTATTATACTGAATTTTCGAAAAATTTTCATGCTAATAAAACTAATATACGCTGTAATTTAATTTTTTCATCTTAGTTTTAAGTCATAGAGTTCATGAAAATGAATATAAAATATTTTTAATTGAAGATATAAAGTAATACATAACTTCAGCCGGAATTAAGATTTTTATAATTCCGGCCAAAATTAAGATTTACAGCATCACGTTTCTTAAATTTTATTGGTTAATGATCACGTGATCCGGTTTATTTACTATAGCTAGTTAGAAAATTGATCCGTTATAGCGAATATCGAGCTTTTACTAGTAAACTCTGGTATATCAAAACTATATTAATATGCGTGATTTAAATCATAACGATTGAACTCTTTTATTTGTTCAAATACATCATCAGTTAGTTTAATTTCATCCATTTTAATAAATAATTTATTAAAAAAATCCGTTATGAATTCGTATGTAAAAATTACTAAAAAATAATAAAGGAAAAGAAAAAAAGTGGTGAAACATTATTTTATGTTTCAACACCTGCTCCATGGAAATTTTCAATTTTCAATACCGGTTAATGAAATTTTGATCAGCGTTAGAAAACTAACGAAAAAAGTGAACCATATTTTTTTCTGGTCTGCATTTAAGAACGATCATTTTTTTAAAAAAATCTTCCGGTCAATGAAATTTTACCAATGAAAAATTTTTTTTTATTCCTTTTTCGGGTTGGTCTTTTTTCCAAAACCGAAATTTGAATTTTTTTTCGGTTTTTTCCGATTTTTTTTTTCTTGTAAAACTTTCCCTTTTTTTCAGAAATTTTTCTTTAATTTTTTTTTCAAACTTTCCTTTTTCAATTTAGTTTTTTCTAAGACTGAAAAAAAATTTTTCGAATATTTTTAATTTTTCTTTTTTTCAATTTGGTTTTTAACTTTTTAAAAATTTTTTTTCCCTTATAATCTATTATATTTTTTTTATATATTTAATTTTATATGTTATTCTATTATCGTTATTATTATTTTTGTTTTTTTAAACTTTAATCTAGATCAATCTAGATCACTGATAGGGATTATGCTGCGGTGTTATGATAATTTATATTTTTTTTCACCTCTTAAGTTAGATCAAGATCATCGGTGTAATAACTTATTAATATTATATAATATCTAAATTTCTAAATATAGGTCAAAACATTTTATTATTATATTGATTTAAACTCATTATTTCAACTAGTAATTTTTTCAAATATATCACATTTAATCCATTCTAGAAGTTAACCAAAGAGTGAATTTGGAAATTTGGAAATTTGGAAATTGTTTTAAAGTAATTTGAAATGATATAAATGCAATTTTCCTCTTTTAAAATTTCAGATATATATATAACATCGTCAAATTATCTATAATAATTTTTTTTTTTACTAAATTCATAAATAATTATCATTTAAACTGGACTTTTGTTTTCGGAATAAACAGAGAACAAATTTTATTTTATTAGTTAACTTTATGAAACTTCATATTTATTAATTTCTTTATACAGTGGTTAAAAATAAGCATTAGTCACACGACTAAGTAACGCTTGAAAAAAGTTCGAGATTGATTACAAAATTAAATTGTGTGTCTTTCTCGTCTCATTTTATTACTTTTTTTCTTACTATATTAATCTTTGTATTAAATATTCCTTATTTATTATTTATTATGGAAGAAATGACGATGTCATACAGTATAAGTACAGGTTATCTTATAAAAGAAATTATTTTAGATAGTTTTTTTTATAATAAAATTATATACATTATATGTATCTCAAATCAGTATAACTATATTAAATCTGTTGTAATAAATCTACTTCATACTAATGGAATCAATATGTGACGTCATTTATACTAATAATGAAAAAATTTATATTTAATACCTTATTCGTTGTAAAATTGAAAATTTACATGATTGACATCAATAATTAATTACGTTAAAACCTCATTAGATGTTGGAACTGGTCATTAATTCAATATATGAAACTGAAACTGGTTAATCATTTGAAACTGAATGTTTATTGGTTGAAACTGGGTTAATGTTTGTCAATCATTGCTGATGGTGAATGAGAAATATTATCAATAAATTACAAAAAGAATTTTAACTGACATGAATGAAGTTTTAGCCAAATTTTATCTAACTTATGTCAAAATTATTGAGATTTACAAATCCAGAAATTGATGTCTCTTCTATGAAGTTCGCTTGATGACAAATATTGATTATGAAATCATTTTGACTAATAATTAGGACATCTGTCATCATGAATACAAGATACATAAAATTTTTTTATATATAACCCTAATACCTTTTTTGTTCATTTTTACAAAATTATTTTTTTTTTTTGAAACGCCGGCCTTTCTTATTCATCAAGTCACGCGATTTCCCTTTTCTTTTTTTGAACGTTACAATCATATCTTTAAATCATGTCTAACAAGATTTCAAGCACTTCTCATTCTAACAAGGTTCCAAGAGCTTCTCATTCTAACAAAGTTTCAAATTCTAACGCTTCTCATCCTAACAAAGTTTCAAATTCAAACGCATCTCATCCTAACAACAAAGTTTCAAATTCTAACGCATCTCATCCTAACAAAGTTTCAAATTCTAACGCATCTCATCCTAACAAAGTTTCAAATTCTAACGCATCTCATCCTAACAAAGTTTCAAATTCTAACGCATCTCATCCTAACAACAAAGTTTCAAATTCTAACGCTTCTCATCCTAACAAAGTTTCAAGTGGTGTATCCATTTTTATTGATAATTCAAGTATTCTTTTTGAGGGAACATATACTGTAGGACGTATTGAGAATGCAAGTGCATATGATCAAAGAAGAAGATCTGTATATCTTAATGAACTCAAAATTGATTATGGTCGTCTTCTTTCAAGGGCATTACATGGACGAGAAATATGCAACAATCCAACAATAGTTGGCATTCAACCACCCAAAGAAGATTCACTATGGAATTATGTTCAAAGTTTGGGTTATAAAGTGATATTCCATGCATATAAAGAGAGATTATCTTACACAATTTCAACTTTTACAATTGCTGTAATGAATACCATACAGACTAAGGATCCTGGTACAATGATTATTATTTCAAGTGATGATAATTACAATCCTTTAGCAAAGGAAGCTCTTAAGCGAGGGTGGGAAGTAGAGACTTGGTCCTGGATGAAAGGTAAACAAATATTTGCATTTAAAAGTATATGGAAATTAATATAGGTTTTCTAAAATTGAAATCTCATTTTTTTAGGAGCATTTCATGATTATAATATAACAGTTGATGAAAAATCAAGATACACTCATAACTATTTGGGTAGTCATTATAAATATTTTACGTGTGCATATACTGATAAAATGTTAGACCATCCTCATACTAAGTATGTTCTCGAAATAAATTACACTGAAGAATGGAATGATAAACATATAATGGAATTTTATTCTATGTTAGAATTATTTGGATGGTGGTGTCGAGATAAAATAAGTAAAAAATTATTTTTGTATTTTGGTTCAAGAAAAAGTTATGAAAAAGCAAAACAGCAGTTGAGAATCAAGTATCCACATATAATACAACTAGATGTACATAATTGATATGTTGAGAGAGTGAAATTTGTGAATGTAATAAATTTTAATGATTACAAAGAATTTATTGGCTTGATTTTTGTTTTGAAGTATAATTATTTTTAAAGTGCAAAACATATTATTATATGAGTGGAGTCTATGGAATAAAAATTATATATTTTATAATATTATATAGTAATACACCCTATTTTGCTGGAAATCTATATAAAAATAGTTTCGGACATGCTGAATAACTTTTACTTAGAAATGGAAGGCAGTTTGCTTTGTTGAAGGTACCCAAAATACGCTCTGAAATCTCTGCATAAAATTTTGTCAAAAGTTTTGAAAAATAAGTACAATCCTGATTTCATAATCAAATATATTTCATTTACTTCTATTATATCTCCTTATTGTATTCGCATTGGAAATTCAAAAAATCCTTCACTTCATTCATATGCAAATATTATTTACATTAAAAAATCAAATATTAATATGTTATTATCAACTTAAGTTTTATGAATAATAAAAATATTTTATTTCTTTAATTCACCTTACACATCGATATGTGATATGAGTTAAGTAAGTCATTAAATAAGTTAGTTATTAAAGATGATAATTAAGTATTATTTTTGATTATTTATAATTCTATGATATTTGGGACAGTTGAAAGGAGGAAAATCGATGGAACAAATCATATAATATCCCATTTAATAAGTGTCATTCCTCTAGATTGCAAGAGCTTGGAAATATCACTTTTCCTTAGATTACTTGTGTGGGTGATATTCCTCGTGCATTACATAACCACAAGGGGGTGTCGACGGTGTCGTCCTTTGTTCTTGCAAACAGTCCTACGGGGTGTCGTCCCAGTGCAACAAAACTCTAGAAATTCAGTAACTTCAGAATGTAATTTGGCTATTGACATCGCTAATTGACTTTTTGCTTTAAAAAATTGACCCAAATAATTCAAATTTTTGGAAAAAGCTAAAAATAGAAAAAGCCCGCGTAGCTAAACTTCGTCATAAAAAAATTATAAAGGTTTAATCAAGTTATATTTATTAATAACTTTGATTATAGTCTATATTCATATTCAACTCACAGATCGAAGCATTAAATGTACTGAAATTGGTATAGACATTTGCTATTCAAGCTACTAACGAACTTATCATTAGCCATTTGTTTAAATCATACCAGGATATATAGCTAACTACAGACCATAGTATTGTTACTATTATACTGGGATTTATCATTCCTTTCCAGATAAATATTCTTGAAATTGTCAACCTTGCTAAATGTTCTAATATACTAAATGATGTAAGCATTATAGTTTCTTTCATAACGTGATTTCAATCATTGTAATACATAGTACTTAAATTTATCTAACACTAACTATATGATAATTTACAGGGAATCTACAAGATCCGATAAAAAAAAAACTGTTAGTATGAATATATACTTAAAAATATTACATAATGTTTTTTTTTTAATTTTTCTAACTATCACCGGGGGTGATGATCACCAGTGACTGAAATTATGACGATCAACCAGCATTAAACAAATATAGTGCCGGTAAAAATTGATGATTCCGGCCAACGGTGATGATCATCCCCAAGTTTTTATTCATTTTATTTAACCAATAAAATGATTTATTTAGTTATCAAATCATATAATTCTATATTAATTAAACGGTTGGCACAATAATTACAAATTAAATACAAGAAAGTTAAAGTTGTAATTGATTTGATGCAAGATTTCAATATGGAAGATCAAAGATTATTGTTAAATTAGCAATCGAAGAACGTGAAGTTAAACTCAAGTAGAACTATTAAAATTAAAAAAGGACTTAATATAAAATAGTTCTCATGTTGTATCGGTACAGAGCTTTATGTTTATCATTACATATTAAAGTTGGTATTTGCGAAACCTTCTTATATATTATTACGTTTATAATTTCCTAATACCATAATGCTACTTAAGACTACTCCGCTTTAAATGACCCTAAGTCCAGGAAAGGTTTATTTAATACAATATTATTCATTGATTACACTCGCTCAAATCCTTCACAGATATATCATATATCTGATATATTTATGAGTTTTTTAATTTTTATTTTACGATATTTGCCAATAAATAGTACTATCTTTTTCTGATGAGCAATTTCAATTATTTTAAGTTTGTAATATTAATAATAATAATCTATAAAGCATTATTATTTAAGATAGTATCTCCACAATACACCTATAAAATAAATAAATAATTAGCCAATACAATATTATTATTAAAAGTAAAAAATCTTAAATACCATAAATACAATGTATGTACAAACAGCATTCGTTATAATTAGGATTTTGATTTTTTATTATTATAAATAGACAATATTTTCCTGTAGTAATAATTGTTAAAGCTATACATGAATTACTTTTAATGATTCCAGTAATTTCTAATTAATTCATTCATAGTATTGGATTCTTAATAAATGAATTAATTAAATTATTAATTGAATAAATTTTTTTTTTTTGCATCTTTAAATCGTTAATTTCAGTATCATGACAAATCATCATTTTTCATTTAATATTGATTGTATCAAAGAAAAATTACAGTGTTTATAAAATGATTTAAAATCTAAACTAATGGAAGCGAGATACCTACATTGCCCAGTTATTAAATATTCACATAATTGTACTATTATCAAAGCGTACATAATAAATATTAAATTAATTGTAGAATTTAATTCTCTTCGTCAATCGGCGCATATTATATAGTAATATATCGGGCTTTATTCATTGAACTAATTTCCAAAACTATAACATCAACGTTTAGTCTTATCTGATATGTTTACTGTGTGGATCAATTATATTTGTTACGTTTATAGAAAGTAATATTGAAGAATCATTAGCGTGTAAATATTTTATAAAAAATTCGATATATAATATAACTTTATTTATAGGTAGATATGTAATATACATAATAAAATATACATAAAAAATACGTAAAATTATAAAAAAAAAATAAATAAATAAAAATTTACCGTCTACAATAGCGACTTCATAAAATCATTTTTAAGGATGACGATATTTTTAAAACTTATGTTCAGATGGTTTTAAGCTAATGAAAAAGAAAAATATATTAGTTGTTAGGAATTATTTCAGAAAACAATAGTTATAGAAATCAATTACCTTAAGATCATCAGTAGCATTTTTTGGTTCGGGAAGATTTTTAAAGTCTAAAAGTCTGCTTGTGTAAACTGCTTGAGGATGTATTTTATACGAAAGAACACCAGTCGATGATAATGATGTTTTCATTGATGAATATAACTGTTTATTAGCCTCATTTGTTTCTATAATTTGCTTATAAATTAATGAATTACTATTATATCTAGTGTCGTCATATAAATTCATTAATAACTCTTTTAGTGCGTTCGCATTAGGTCTCTTTGAATGATCCGCATCCCAACATTGTTTAATTATATTCGAAATCAGTTGAGGAATTGTATAATTAGATTTTGGTCTTGATCCTTGACAAATTGCAATCGCTAAAGCTTCATCATGAGCCACATCATGACAAGGAGGCAATCCTGTACAGACTTCATATGCGATGATTCCAAATCCGTAAATATCACTTGCTTGAGTATATTCTTTTTTTCTTAAAACTTCTGGCGCTACATAAGGTAATACTCCATATACTTTTTTATCGTTATCATTTTGAGGAGGTTTTACATTCGCCGGTTGATATACTCCAATATCTGCAATTGTGATTCCACTGTTAAATATATTTCCGCAATGAAAATTATGATGAATTGATTTATTATTATGAATATCGCAGAGACCATATGCAATATTATGTAAAATATGAAGTTTTTCCTTCCACTTCAACGAAGTAAAATTTTTATTTAAATGTTGTCTTAAATTACCATTCTTCGCATATTCTGTAACCATCATAAAATTGTTGGATTCTGGGTCCTTAGTAATACCGTAACAATGAATTACGTTATACGAGTTGATCGTAGTATTTGATTGAATCTGAAAAAGAAAAAAGTTTTTTTTAACGAAATTTACAAGTGAATAACGAATTAAATTTGAGTATTTAAAAAAAAAAAAGAAAATCTGAATTTTCTTACTTCTTTTAAAAATTCAGGCGAAATATCTTGTGAATTATTTAAACTTTTTAAGGCAACCAGGAAATCTTCATAATTATATTTATATCTTTCCCATTGATTATTTTCAGAATTCCATCCACATATATATCCATCTTTCCAATTAGCTCTATATACGGTTCCAAAACCTCCATTGGTTAAATTTTCAACGTTTTCAAATTTATTATAATCTATCCATTCTATAACTTCATAATGATTTTTAGCATTTAATTGAGTTTTTCGAATAAATTCATCAACATTTTTATTCCCACTTGTCCAATTATTAAAATTCTGTTCAAAATGTTTGGCGTTACATGACTGACACCAATAATTTCTTGTTAAAAAACTATTAGCATTTGGTTGTTTACATTCTTTACATAATCCATCTTCTTTAAAACGTTCTTTTAAATTTTTATCCGTAATTACTTTATCTATTAAAGTTTCTTGTTCTTTAGTTAAGTTCCAATGATTAAAACCTCTTATTTGTTCGATTACTTCATTGCTGAGTTTAACCTCCCCCATATTTGATATTGAGTGATTAAAATAATACGATAATATGTTATTAAATTTATGTAAAGTTATTAAAAAATTTGTTAAAAATTTCTTCAAGAAAAAAATAAAAGACCAAACGACCTTATTATTATTTTTTTTTTTTTACAATATTTAAAAAGTAAACGTTACACGCTGCACGATGAACTTAAAAAGCAATTAATGACTCAAAAAGGAATATCTCTATTTTTATTTAAGGGAGGCGTAAAATTCACGTGAGAATGGACAAGGACGGAAATTTTGCTTCAAGAACCCGTACAATAATTATCTTGCTGAATTGTGATCATTAAATCCCACAAAAAGAAGTTTAAGGGTCAGACAGACCTTTTTTTGATATAAATCGTAACCATTCGTTCCATATAAGTCGTAATTGAAACGATAATTGTGTTACGTTGATCAAACATATTCGCAACGTAAATCACGTAGATGTACGCCTCTTGCCATTTTTTAATTCATTAAGAGAACATAAAGTTTAATTCCCATCCATTGGTTCACATAAATTGTGTACACAATGACTATTATTGTATCGATGTTATAATCTTTAAATGGTCCAATCAAGATAGTTGTGATTCATAATTACGATAAAAAAAAAATAAATCGCACATTTCTCCTCACTTTTAACAAATTAAATTGGCTAGTTTTTAATATGTTGAAAATTATTAAAGTCATTTAACTATTAAAATTTCATTGTTTACATTCTTATGATATCGATGTATAATCAATTTCAGACGAATAAAATCTCACATTGATATCATTGAGTCACTAAAAATTATTTCGACTGAAATTATTCAACATATAAATAGAGAATTGGTTATTTCAGATTTATATGATACTTAATTTATAGGATTAATGATATTTCTTGGGATGAGCCTGTGTATACATCATGGAAGTAATTCAGCCAGAACTGTGGTCAAAAATTTTCTCCAATGTTCTTATTCTTCATCATGATACAAAACTTGTTCCTACTTGGGAATTTCGTTGTACATTCCTGGGAGATATCAGTAGTAAAAGCTTTTTTAAAATCAGGGTTTGCAGCAATTGTTAGTAAAAGTAAAGATGTTAGCAAGCTTTTATTTTTTGTCGTCTAGGTTTTACATTTTGGTCGTCATGCTTGCTAGATTTGAAAGTAAAGAGAAAGAGTTCCATAAATATAAAACTAAATTTGTACTAGGAATTAAACTTGTATTTTGACACTATAATAAAAGATGACATCAATAAATCAAAGTTACATATACAGTAGCATTAGTGAGTGAAATAGGGATTTATTTTAGTACACTTACGCTTATTTTTGATGAAAAAAAATTCAAGCATTTATTAGAAGATATGGAAAAAAATGTGAAAATGTTTTACATTTAATAACTTTTGAAGAAATTCTTTGTGCTGAATGATATCATTAGTAATTTTTTAGATGGCTTACAATATATATAGAAGGGTTAATTAAAGGAATATTTTTTAGTTGTTTTGAATGAATTGAATTTTAATATTAATAAAGTTTCACACTATTTTAAATTGAATCATTATTTCAGTATTGCTTAATCAATATTAAATTTCAAATCGTTTTATATATATATATATATATATTATTGAATTCCAAAACCTTAAACTTTTAAATAATGTTGTTTGAATTATAAGGTATTTATAAATATATTTTGGCATTTTTATATTTGCAATAAAGTTTTGATTAATGACATGTTTACGTATGTTTTAATTAAACTCAGTAATCAGTATTATCTCAACCATTATTAAATAAAAATGGAGCCGAAGCCAATTCTATACCAACTCGAACAAGTTTGGATCATTATTGACTAAAGTAATCCAAATTTGTGTTAAAGATTGTTTAAATTGTACTAGCTTTATTTAGTACGATCCCGAGTTGAATCAATTTCAGTAGAATTATCATTAAATCTTATGATAAAATTTAACTCATAATTATCATAATCTATGAATAGTCTAGATTTATACAAGTGCAAGTCAAGAATATTTAGATCACTAAAATAAAAAAATCATCATGTGTTACATTTGCCATTATATGTCTTTTGTTTAATCTCACACAAAAGTTTCATTTGGAATGCAACCTGTATGAATCTAATACTTCCTTACAAATATAAGTCTTTGAGGTTCCTGTAACTACAAGGAAATGTACAATTTTGACCTGTCCTTTTATTTCCATTGTCATTACACCAAAAGGTCTATGATAATTACTAACAAATTTTCCTTTAACTTCGTCCGATTCTTTTGTGGAATTTGAGAGGTATTTGACACGAAATTGCTCTGATACTTCTTTATGTAAATCTTCTGACGTAATAAAATAAATCGTACATATTAAATTCAGGTGGTAAATGGTAAGCATAACTTATCAATAGCTTGAAAAAAAAAAAAAATTTTTGCAAAATGTTTTTAGTTATAAGAAGAGAAAGACAATATATTTAATATAAATAAATAATTATATAATGGCTAACACGATGTTTTGTAACCTTTTTCAGGTGGATGAAAATAATATGGCAAATTAAACATTTTTTTCATTTTTTTATAATGTTCCAGGGAAAAACTATATTTACAGAATTTATTCAATAAATAAAGTAAGAAAATATATTTAAGTAAATAAAACAACAATATACCAGCTCTAGTAGAAATTACTTTGTGATAGTAATATGGTAAACTTTTTTCTTTAAATGATTTTATTAAATACGAAGGTGATAGTAATCTCATTTTTTCTGCTAAAAGTTTTTCTATTTATTTAATTTGTTGATTGTATATAATAAAAATTCAAGATGTATAAGAACAAAAAAAATATTATTTTAAAAAAGAAAATTTTGCGCATCACTAACCCTTAAATTTTATGACTAATATGTGACATATTGTTGCAAATTATTTAGTTAGTAATCCAATGAAAATTTTATATACTGCATTACTGAGCCATTCTTATGACATTATTGGTATATTCTTAAAATATCAGATTATACTATAATTTACATAAAATTAATAGTTATCGTTCAGCCCAATAGGATCATGCAGATTTTCATAGCCGATATCTTTATTAGGCATAGTAATAACGCATGATTGATATAATAAAGTGTAGGAAAAGTTAAATAAAGCTTATAAAGTGGATTTAAAATAGCATAAAAATGAAATTTATAGAAAGTTAAATAAAGCTTATGATGTTATTAATTAATGCATGATCAAAAACGAAAACACTTTTATTGGATGTGAACTATATTGATCGGTCACAGGACCGATATAGCCCCACATACAATAACTATTTATTATTAAAAATTTAAAATATTTAAAAATACAATCAAGTTTCAAGTAATAGCATAATAATTAATATGATATAATATTGCCAAAGAGTTACCTAAAGAAAAATGAAATGTTGGTCAATGTTTTGCCTAATATTTGTTAAAAAAAAAGGATATTAAAAAGGACACTCCTCAATAAAAAGTGAAATTTTATATCAAAAAGTAACTATCTGCGATAACGCGCAAAACCTAAAAATCAAAAAATTACAAGTGTGGTGTTCTTCATTAATAAAGTTTATTATCTTCAAAAATTAGCTCAATAATGCTGTAAAAATATTTGGTATTATTTAATGGTTAATTTTTGACATTTAATATACTTATATTTTATTCTGCTATTAAACCAATGAGATATTTTATTGATATAGGGGAGTTCTAACCATAATTATTAAACAAATTCAGTTTATTTATTCATAAAAAACCATTCTTTTAAAAGAATGTTTTCTTTTTACGGTCTTAAAATTGTTTTCAAGTATATTTTGGTAATAAAATTTTCATTCAATTCGGTCATTTTACATATATTTTTGATTATAACTAGGGATGTTAACGGTCCGGTCCGGTCCGTCTTGGTCTGGTCTTCATCGGTCCACGGTCCGGGACCGAGGACCGGGACCGATCGGTCCTATAGGACTGTGGTCTGGACCGGTCCCATAAAAAAAATTTTAGCGTTAGTTTGTTACTTCGCATAATTTCTACCGGAATTAACAAAATTTCCTTTTTAGGAAATTAGTGTAACCTTGTGCCACAATAAACAAGCGAAAAATAATATTTCCTTTTTTTGGAATTGTGTAACGTTATATTACCATAATGCGGGCCGGCACTATGAATTTTAGTTAAAAAAACTTCTTATAGGACCGTCTAATAGGACTGACGGTCGGTCCGGTCCTATCACTCCTATGTGGTCCAGTCCAAAATTGGCCCCCAGGACTGGACCACGGTCTGGTCAGGGACCGGACCGTTATCTCTAATTATAACATATAATCGTTAAGAAAAAGAAATTGTATTTGAAATAATAAATTAATAATATATTTGATTTTTTTTAAACTCTGTATCCGATTCATTATATTCTATTCTGTACTGTCCTCATTCGGAATTTAACTTATATTTTATTGTTTTAATGACAAATACTCTAATAAAAAAATTATTGAACTATTTTAATGTTAAAAAGTTGTGAAAACCGGGTTTAAAAATTTAGTGCAATAATCGCAGTAGTATAATTTTGTAATTTACATTACTAAATTGCATCTTAAAATTATTCTCATTCTTAGAGAAAATTAATTTGGCTGTATTTTTATATGTATTAAAAGATCATATAAAAATAACAGACATAAATTATTTACTTTATATGGGCTAAAATAAGAGATATCATTAAATTAATGTCATTATGATTAAGTTTTAATCTGACAAAGGAGATCAGTTTGTTTTTCAAGTATAATAAAAAAAAACCTCTTTCTGTCATAAAATACACTCTTCAGTCATGAAACATCAATAATTGCTTGTTTTTCAAGATCAATCAATTTAATAAATAAATTATGTCCATTATTAAATTTAAAAATATAAAATGTTCGTATGTGCACGATCTGCATATTAAATATATTTTTGATATTCATTCTTATATTTCACTTTAATGAACAACAGTAGGTGAAAGGACAAGGTGAATAAAAAGTTGTTAACTTCAAAATATTTTACCCTCATTTTATACGTTCTATTATGTAAAGAATATTTACATCATTTCTCAATATGATAACATAATGCATATAGTATATCTCGAAGTCATAATTAATATATGAACTTCTCAGTGATACCTTTATTACAGTAAGACACACACACACTAGAAGTAATTTTTTACAGTAAATTTAGTTTCTTATTTATCAACCGTGATACTTATTTATATAATTATTGAAATATTAGTGACTTATTTATTCATAAATAAAAAAATAACCTTTAATTTTTTCAGAAATAAATAATTGATGAGTCTTACTATAATTCCTAGAATAGCATTAAACTTTATCCTTGATCTTTTAAATATTCTCATTTTAAGTAACTGTGTTTAACTACTTTCATCTATAATAGAAAAATTGTTAAATCCAATTTGATAAATCAAAAAAATCACATGCAAAAGTAATTACCTTTAGAATTAATATCAAGTTTAGTAAAATTCATTCTTAAGGAATCTGTAAAATAAATGAATAATTATTACTCTAAATAAGTTTAAATAATTATTTTGAATTAAAATTACCTGAATATTCTAAATCATCATTGTTNGTTTTTCAAGATCAAGCAATTTAATAAATAATCATGTCCATTATTAAATTTAAAAATATAAAAATGTTCATAATGAGACGAGAAATGTTGTATATGCACGATCTGCAAATTATATATTTTTTTATATTCATTCTTATATTTCACTTTAATGAACAACAGTAGGTGAAAGGACAAGGTAAATACACCTGTCTCTTATACACATCTAGATGTGTATAAGAGACAATCCCAACATTGATTAATAATGTCAAGAATTAATTGAGGTATTTTATAATTAGACTTTGGCCTCAACCCATTACAAATTTTCATTGCTAAGAATTCATCATGAGCTATATCATAATAAGGAGGGAAACTTGTACAAATTTCATATGCAATGATTCCAAATCCATAAATATCACTTTTATGAGTATATTCGTTTCCTCTTAAAACTTCTGGAGCTACATAAGGTAATACTCCATATGTTTTTTTATTACTATTTTGAGAGAGTTTGACATTTGCCGGTTGACATAATCCCAAATCAGTAATAAAAGCACTATCATTACTACCAAAATCGCTTACTATATTTCCACAATGAAAATCATGATGAATAAATCCTTTTTTATGAATATTTTTAAGACCATCTGCAATACCTTGTAAACTCCACAACTTTTGCTTCCAATCCATTGAAATAAAGTTGTTATTTAAATGTTGTCTTAAGTTACCATTTTTTAAATCCATTACCATCATAAAATCATTTGTTTTTGGATCTTTGGTAATACCAAAACAACGTACTATATAATTTGATTCACATGCTAAAATATTTGATTCAACCTTAAGAGAAAATTGTAGTTAGTTTAGAATTATAAAAGTCTGATAATACTAAAATCAGTAGAAAATATCTTACTTCTTTTAAAAAATCTGCTGTAATATCTTGTGAATTATGTAAGCACTTTAAAGCAACTTTTGCTTCACCATCTCTTTTCCATTGATTATTGTAATAATCCCAACCCCAAATAGGACCATCTTTCCAAACTGCTTTAAAAGTAGTTCCAAATCCCCCTTTTGCTAAATATTCAACATCATCAAATTTATCATATTCAGTCCACTCTATGATTTGACGATACCATTTAGTTTTTAATTGTGCTTTTTGAATAAATTCATCAACGTCATGATTTCCGCTTGTCCAATTTTTGAAATTTTGTTGGAAATAATTAGAAAAACATGACTGGCACCAATTATAATCAGTATTAGGCTGTTTACAATTTCCACATAAACCATTTTTTTTATAACGTTCTTTTAATTCTTTGTCTGTTATTAGATTATCGATTAACGATTTTTGTTCTTCAGTCAGGAAATAACGATTAAAATCTTTAATTTGTTCAAATACATCATCACTTAGTTTATTAATCTCATCCATTCTAATAACAATTTTTTAAACAAAAAATATATTATTAATTCGTATGTAAAAATTATTAAAAAATAATAAAGGAAAGGAAAAAATGAAAAAAAAAGTGGTGAAACGTTATTTAATGTTGCAATAATTTCAAGATCGGCAACAAAATTATTAAAAAAAGACTAGTTAAAATACACAATAATCTGATTGGCAATTAAATTTATTCAACTTTGGCAAATTACACAAATTACAATAGCTTTTAAAGCTACCCTTATCATTGAAAACACTAAAGGTTAGTTGGTCGTTGGAGGGGTACAATGCATTAAAAAAACAAAATTCAATTTTGACTCATTTATACAATTGAAATATTGGTAGTTTTATTTATTATTAATTTTAGATAATTTAATATGATCAAATTTATTAATAAAAAATAACATTTCATTATGATGTTAATCCTCAATTTTTTCAGACACGAATAATTAATAAATATGAATCTTAGTATATTTCCATCAAATGTTCCAGAATAAGTATAAAAATTATCCTCAATTTCAAAAACAAAATAGAAAGTAAAAAACAAAATAAAAACAAAATTATATCTGCTATATTATTTTATATACTAAATATTTTCATTTAAAGTAAAATGAGTTATATTTCTTTTATCTATAATAAAAAAAAAATAGCTTAATTAAAATTTGATAAATTAAAAAAATCATATGCAAAAGTAAATTACTTTAGAATTAATATCAAGTTTAGTAAAATCCATTCTTAAGGAATCTGTAAAATAAATGAATAATTATTACTCTAAATAAGTTTAAATAATTATTTTAAATTAAAATTACCTGAATATTCTAAATCATCATTGTTAGCATTTTTTGGTTCTGGAAGATTTTTAAAACTTAAAAGTCTACTTGTGTAAACTGCTTGAGGATGTATCATATATGTGAGTGTACTTGTAGATGATAATGGTGACTGAACTGTTGAAGATGACTTTTTGTTAATTTCATCTGCTACTTCAGCTTGCTTCCTGATTAAAGATGTAGGAAATTCATGGTAATTAGACCACAAACTAATAAATAAATTTTCTAATTCATCTGCATTAGGTCGTTTTAAAGGATCTGCATCCCAACATTGATTAATAATGTCAATAATTAATTGAGGTATTTTATAATTAGATTTTGGCCTCATCCCATTACAAATTTTCATTGTTAAGAATTCATCATGAGCTATATCATAATAAGGAGGGAATCCTGTACAAATTTCATATGCAATGATTCCATACCCATAAATATCACTTTTTTGAGTATATTCGTTTCCTCTTAAAACTTCTGGAGCTACATAAGGTAATACTCCATATATTTTTTTATTACTATTTTGAGAGGGTTTGACATTTGCTGGTTGACATAATCCCAAATCAGTAATATAAGCAATATCAACAAAATTGCTTAATATATTTCCACAATGAAAATCATGATGAATTAATCCTTTACTATGAATATTTGTAAGACCATTTGCAATACTTTGTAAAATCCACAACTTTCGTTTCCAATCCATTGAAATAAAGTTGTTATTTAAATGTTGTCTTAAGTTACCATTTTTTAAATCCATTACCATCATAAAATTATTTGTTTTTGGATCTTTGGTAATACCAAAACAGCGTACTATATAATTACATTTTGATTCGTATACTAAAATATTTGATTCAACCTTAAGAGAAAATTGTAGTTAGTTAGAAACTATAAAGGTTAATAATACTAAAATCAGTAGAAATATCTTACTTCTTTTAAAAAATCTGCAGTAATATCTTGTGAGTTATGTAAGCATTTTAAAGCAACTTTTGTTTTACTTTCTCTTCTCAATTTACTAACGTTAATATTAAAATCCCAACCCCAAATATGACCATCTTTCCAAACTGCTTTAAAAGTAGTTCCAAAACCCCCCTTTGCTAAATATTCAACATCTTCAAATTTATCATATTCAATCCACTCCATTATTTGACCAAAGTTTTTAGCTTTTAATTGTGCTTTTTGAATAAATTCATCAACGTCATGATTTCCGCTTGTCCAATTTTTGAAATTTTGTTGGAAATTGTTAGAAATACATAACTGACACCAATTATAACCAGTAAAATAAGGCTGTTTACAATTTATACACAAACCATATTTTTTACAACGTTCTTTTAATTCTTTATCTGTTATTAGTTTATCAATTAACGATTCTTGTTCTTCAGTTAAATACCTATATTTAAAATCTTTTATTTGTTCAATTACATCATCACTTAGTTTAATTAAATCCATTTTAATAAATAATTTTTTGTATTATTCGTATGTAAAAATTACTAATAATAAAGGAAAAGAAAAAAAAATGAAAAAAGTGGTGAAACGTTATTTTATGTTGCAATAATTCAAGATCGGCAACAAAATTATTAAAAAAGACTAGTTTACAAACTACCCTAGCGTTACCCCAAAAGAAAGCGGAATTATGCACTGTCACATGAACTGTGCGGTGACAAAATAATGTGTGACGAATAAGTTTTTACCAACTCGAGGTGTGACGGATGTGATGAATTTTGCATGGTCACGTGACCAGTGCTTTTTTGGGTAACACTAGGCTAGTTCTAGTTTACACCCTTAAAAGGTTTGTTGATTGGTTCAATTACGAAAAGGGACAAGTCTATATTTAAGACAATGGAGAATATATTACTACATAATACCAAACATGATAGATCAGCGCTAAAAAGGAAATCACTTGACTACGTTACGGTCAGTACGTTACTTTTCGTACGGCACTATACGTTTCAAAAACATGTTTCAAAATTGTGAGATAGTTAATCTATCTAACTTCAAAATTAACTAAAAAAATTACTTTAAAACATGTGATATTGTTTATTTTAAACAACAATTGAAAATTTTTCTATCATACATTTATTTTCTACTAATGCCATCATAATAATAGTAAAATCACACTGCATGGCAAATAAAATATAAGTGTTTATTTATTACTCTCTTACTTGATGGGCAAGTAACATCCCCACCGCAACGCGACAGTTACACCTAGTTTATTACTAATTTTGCAAAAAGATAATTTGTATTGAAGTAAAAAAATCTATTCTATTTTATTCAACAATACTAAATTATTTTCTAGCTTGATTTTCCTGACAAAAAAAATATTAGATAATTATTATATATTATTAATTAATTTTTTAAAAAAAATCTGCAATGAAATAATAAAAAAAAAAAAGAAACTATTTTATTGTATTCTTTTTAATTTATTTATTTATTTATTTATTTAAAAAATTTATTTCTTAAGTGATGTTTTTCTTAAACTTTGATAATTATACAATATTATAATAGTCACTATAATAGGACCCCGAACAATACTGATATAGGTAAGGTCCAGAAAAAAAAATTTACTATTAGCTGTACGCAGCACTTTTGACTATGATCAGTACGCATTTATAGCTCCTAACCCCTGAAATTTTTACAAAATACGCATTTTAATCCTCTAACTTCAAGTCGGTTTTTAAAATTTTAATTGGCTCTTTTATTAGTTGTATCAAATTGTTCTCTGTCTTCGTCTGTTTTACATCCTGAACATGCTACATGTCTATTTAAATAATCTTCTTCATACCTGTGGCTTAATTTGATTCCTTTCCCACATATACATGCTACTTTTTTTGCATTAATAATATGAGTAACGTATTTATGTTAGCCAATCACTCTTTACCATATTTCCAATGAAACATTATGTATGCAATACAGAAAAGATTTTTTTTCAAAAAAAAAAAATTTATTTTAAGATGATCGTTAAATAAAATTAAAAATATTAAATTATTATTACTTATTTCCAAAAATGTACCAAAAATAAGCAAATCCAACATCTTATCATCCTAAAATCCAATCAAAATTACGCAAAATCAAAAGATGACAACGCATCTTCAGCTCCTACCTATATTAGTATTGTTCGGGGTCCTACTATAATAATGATATATTTTCTAACTAAACATTTTTTATCAGAAATTTTTTTAAATTTTAAATTTTGGATCATATAAAGCACATGATTTATGTTGATCATAGCCTATTCATAGGTAGGGCACTATATATATCAATACAACTGATATAACGAATTGGAATAATAAAATAATAATAATTTAGTATTACTTAGTTTAGTTCTTTTGATCATTTTTGGAATAATTGATGATAATCAATTTCTAAAAAAAAAAATAATAAATAAATATCAATAACAGAAAATAAAAAAAACATAATACATAGAAAAAAAAATATCTCACAGATTGGTTGGAAAAAAAACCGAAAAAAAAAAAAATTCCGATTAAAATTTCATTAACCGGAATTGGATTAGATATACATGACATGCCGATCAAGCGGATCAGCAATTCAAAATTAATTTATATAAACGTTAGTCACACAAACACTATTTTTTTTTGATTATATAGAGATAGATAAGTGAATTATGTCAGTCTATATCATAAAATACAGTATTAACCACTCTTCAGTCATTTTTGAAACATCAATAATTGCTTGTTTTTCAAGATCAAGCAATTTAATAAATAATCATGTCCATTATTAAATTTAAAAATATAAAAATGTTCATAATGAGACGAGAAATGTTGTATATGCACGATCTGCAAATTATATATTTTTTTATATTCATTCTTATATTTCACTTTAATGAACAACAGTAGGTGAAAGGACAAGGTAAATACACAGTGAAATTCGATATAACGGAACTCATCCATTCCAGTAAAAATATCCGGTATATCGAGACTTCCGATATATCAAAAATTTCGATATACCGGATTTTTATATAAATCACATGAAATTCTGTTATATCAAATTTTTATTTGTGCGACATGTGCAACGAACATTGAAAATTCAGATTATTTTTATTTAAACATTATTTGAGAAATTTTATACACTGAAATTAATTAAAACTTAATAAAAAAAATCATCTATTCTACCCGGACATATTTTCAATAAAAAAGTTCGTGATTAAAGTGTAAAAAAAAAAATTTCGTGTATGATCTGTTATTTATTTTTATTTTTAGGGGTTCACATATATAAATATTTCCAAATAAACAAATCTTATTTAGGAAATTCTGTTTATATTACATACTTATAAAATTATGAAATTTTTTTTGAATATATTAAATAGGAATGTTGAAAATATTGAAGAATTTTTATCTGAGTCTTAAAACTCAGTTCAAAGCTTGCGTATTCCACTAAAATTTCTAAAAGGTCACACTTGCTGCTAATTTTATTTGGTTTAAAATCGTGAATCATCACTTGTTCCGGTAAATCGAATCATTTTTATAACTGATTTGTTATTTGTTCCGTTATAGTCATTATCGAGATTTTACCAATAAATTTCGTTATATCAAAGTTATTTTAATATATATAATTTGGTTCCGGAAAAGTTCCGGTATAAGGCCAGTTCCGGAGTTCCTTTATATATCGAATTTCACTGTGTAAAATGATCAAATTTTTGAAAGTGATTATTAACTTTAAAATATTTTACCCTCTTTTTATACTTCCTATTATGTAAAGAATATTTACAAAAAATAATTTTCATTCTCATCCACAATTTATACGATAACATAATACATATAGTATATCTCGAAATGATTTAATTAATATATGAACTTCTCAGTGATGCCTTTATTACAGTAAGACACACACTAGAAGTAATTTTTTACAGTAAACTTAGTTCGTGATACTTATTTATATAATTATTGAAATATTAGTGATTTATTTATTCATAAATAAAAAAAATAACTTTAAATTTTATTATAATGTTAACTTTTAATTTTTTCGGACATGAATATAATTCCTAGAATAACATTATAACATTATCCTTGATCTCTCATCAAATTCACAATAAAATAAAAAAAATAAAAAAAATGGATAAATTATAGGTATTTTACATTTTAAATATTTTCATTTTAAAGTAACTGTGTTTAACTACTTTCATCTATAATAAAAAAAAAAAATAACTTAATTAAGATTTTATAAATTATTAAAGTCGCATGCAAAAATAATTACCTTTAGAATTAATATCAAGTTTAGTAAAATTCATTCTTAGGGAATCTGTAAAATAAATGAATAATTATTACTCTAAATAAGTTTAAATAATTATTTTGAATTAAAATTACCTGAATATTCTAAATCATCATTGTTAGAATTTATTGGTTCTGGAAGATTTTTAAAATCTAAAAGTCTACTTGTGTAAACTGCTTGAGGATGTGTTATATATGAGAGTGTACTAGTAGATGATAATGGTAACTGAACTGTTGATAACTTTTTGTTAATTTCATCTGCTTCTTTAGCTTGCTCACTGATTAAAGATTTAGAACTTATATCGCAATTATCCCACAACTCAGTAAATAACCTTTCTAATTCATCTGCGTTAGGTCGTTTTAAAGGGTTTGCATCCCAACATTGATTAATAATGTCAAGAATTAATTGAGGTATTTTATAATTAGACTTTGGCCTCAACCCATTACAAATTTTCATTGCTAAGAATTCATCATGAGCTATATCATAATAAGGAGGGAAACTTGTACAAATTTCATATGCAATGATCCCATATCCATAAATATCACTTTTTTGAGTATTCGTTTCCTCTTAAAACTTCTGGAGCTACATAAGGTAATACTCCATATATTTTTTTATTGCTATTTTGAGAGGGTTTGACATTTGCCGGTTGACATAATCCCAAATCAGTAATAAAAGCAAATTCAACAAAATCGCTTAATATATTTCCACAATGGAAATCATGATGAATTAATCCTTTTTTATGAATATCTTTAAGACCATATGCAATACTATATAAACTCCACAACTTTCGCTTCCAATCCAGTGAAATAAAGTTGTTATTTAAATGTTGTCTTAAGTTACCCTCTTTTAAATCCATAACCATCATAAAATTATTTGTTTTTGGATCTTTGGTAATACCAAAACAACGTACTACAAAATGACTATCATATGATTCACAAGCTAAAATATTTGATTCAACCTTAAGAGAAAATTGTAGTTAGTTTAGAAATTATAAAGGCTAATAATACTAAAATCAGTAGAAAATATCTTACTTCTTTTAAAAAATCTGCTGTAATATCTTGTGAATTATGTAAGCACTTTAAAGCGACTTTTGTTTCACCTTTTCTTTCCATTTGATTATTGTCATAATTAATTTTCCAAGGACCATCTTTCCAAACTGCTTTAAAGGTAGTTCCAAATCCCCCTTTTGCTAAATATTCAACATCTTCAAATTTATCATATTCAATCCACTCTATGATTTGGTTTTCATTTTTAGCATTTAATTGTACTTTTTGAATAAATTCATCAACGTCATGATTTCCACTTGTCCAATTTTTGAAATTTTGTTTAAAATATTGTGATTTACATGACTGACAATAACTATAAGTAGTTTTAGGCTGCTTACAATTTTTACATAAACCATTTTTTTTATAACGTTCTTTTAATTCTTCATTTGTTATTAGTTTATCAATTAACGATTTTTGTTTTTCAGTCAAATCATAACGATTGAACTCTTTTATTTGTTCAAATACATCATCAGTTAGTTTAATTTCATCCATTTTAATAAATAATTTATCAAAAAAATATGTTATTAATTCGTATGTAAAAATTACTAAAAAATATAGGAAATGAAAAAAAAGTGGTGAAACGTTATTTTATGTTGCAATAATTTCAAGATCGGCAACAAAATTATCAAAAAAAGACTAGTTAAAATACACAGAAGAAACACAATAATCTGATCAGCAATTAAATTTATTCAATTTTGGCAATTACAATAGCTTTTAAAGCTAACCTTATCATTGAAAACACTAAAGTTGGCCGTTGGAGGGGTACAATGCATTAAAAAAGGAAAAGTCAATTTTGAAACATAATAAATGTATTATGTAAGCAAACGAAATAATGATCTGCATCCGAAAAAGGAAAGCCGACGAGAACAAATTTTATTGTTAATATTTAATATGTTAATGTTAACGTTAACATTAACAGTTAACACTTTATTCATTTTGTTCGTTTCTTAATGCTGTAATTTAAATACTGAGGTCCACTTACCACCTATCACATCAAAATACTTTTTTTTATTTATTAATAAAAAATAAGATCATCTTCGAATTGCCGTAGAATTATGTCATAAAACAATTTGACTAACAAATATACAATCATAAAAATTATTAGATAATATAAAAATTAATAATCATTCTTTCATAAAAATTAAACAATTTATTAATTTAAAAATGGAATATTTTTTTTTTTTTTTGGAATACTCAATTAGCTAATTGTTACACTAGAAAATTAAATAAAAATAGCGTTACCTTATCGGATATTCTTATTAAAATATAAATAAATGTGAAGAATTAAGTCCATTTAAATGGTGGATTAATGTATCAATGAACAGAATTAACTTATTATTCGCTATAATAGAAATATCCTTTAATCGTTAAATTATGGCACTTCCTTTATTATTTAAATTCTTAACATATACAAACACTTTCGTCATTTATATAGATTTATGCTCGTAAATTCATTGCATATAATTAAGAATAATTTCTAAAGTTTCGTAAGTGATATCACTGTCAGTTAAAGTGGGTGATATATTTTGGGATTCAATCATTTCGATTCCAATAATGCGTTAAAATAATCTGGTATACCTTAAGAATGGGCATAAAAAATTTTTTCATTGCTTGCATTGTATTATCAACAGCAGATGAAACTTTATGATTCTTTTGAAGTATTCAATTCATCATCCGAAATAGATAGTTCCGGTAAAGAATCAATAATATCGGACCTTATCCCTGGCTAATTTATTATTCCAATCTTGTCTAAATGATTGAACTTTTTTCCATATCAGTTATATTAACATGACTTTTTTTCGCCACCACTCAAACGAACCCTTTAATATAAAACCATATTCAGTTTTAACGAATTGAGTATAGCCTTTAACCACATTTACTACATGCCTACGTTTTCATAGTAGGTAAATAGTTTAATAAACCATTGTACTCTTACATTATTATCAAATGTTTCAACCGATAATCTTACTATTTATCTCCATTATGATAATCAAATTTCCAGGTGATTTCATTCATTTTAGATAAATAACCATTTTGCAATATGCATCAATATTTGTATTATACGAAATTTCATTCATAAATAAATTATTTCCTTCGACTGGTATAACATGATTGAGTGAATAATTATTATCAAATATTCCTTTACTAGTACCATCTTTAACTTTTGCGATTTCTACATGTTCATGACCACTTTGTGGTGGAATATAAGTTTGATGATAAAGATTGTTGTATTTCAGAAGTGAAAGTAAAATTTGAAGCTTTAGGAGCTCCCTTAGTACGATTAAATCTAAAGTTATTAAAGCTTTGGTTTATAGAAGTTGGTGTAATAGTTGAAGTTTGTCCATAATATTGTTACTGATGACTCTATTCACGAAATAATGAAGCAATTTGTTTTTTTAATGGGGTGAAATGAGAATTATTGCTTACATAGTTACTTCTTGAATCTATATCATTTTCATCATTGTTACCATTGTAAGGATTCTTATTAATGTTATTGTTATTATTAGGTTGTTGTTGTTAGAGTTACTGTTAGGATTATTGTTTGAATTTTCGTTATTTAAATTATTTGTCTAAATCATAGTGTATAAATTTTTGTCTTATAAAAGAGACAACATAGATAACGAAGGAACACAACAAAAATTCTTGGGGTATTTATACGTCCTGCATTTTTAATCATGGCACGTATAAGGGTATTCATAATTTTTACTCCACAATGCATTGGTCTTCAAAAGTTAATTTAATAAGGATTAATTTGAATGGGTCAGAACGAACTAAAAAATTAAGAAATTTATTCTAGGAATATCTGTACAATACAAATTTTTTTTTGAATCAAATCGGAAGGGAAGAAATAAATTCATCATTATTTTTATATCATTATCGGTATCACAACGACCAAATCTTCTTCCTAGGTTACTTACTAGTACATGCATTATAAAGAAGATTATGGCATCCTATATTTAATCCAATATAACATATATTATATATATTGATCCTTTTGTAAAATCCATAAACCCATATATATACCCAATGTGAAATTCTTAATAAGATGAAAAAAAATAAGTAAACAAAACAAAAAAATAAATAAATTCATTATATATTATATGTTTAAAAAATAAAAGTTTAACTTACATCGCATAATTTATAAAAGCTGCAAAAATGCATGAAATTTGTATAATAAAACTTAAATAACAAAAGAAGCAGCTATAATATGGCGATTTAAAAATGTTTTTATTATAGCGAATAAAATGTTTAATCCATGCACTGATACATTTAACCATAATCTAAATGGATGAGATTTTGCCAATATGAAGTGTTCCGGTAACAAGCGATAAGTGTAATGAGTTAACATTATTAACGTTCTATTAAGAAGTAAAAATAATGATGATAAACTTTTTTATCTATAAAAAATAACTAAAACAATTTTTTTAATAAAAAAATTAACTTTTTCGCTTACGAGTAACGAACCATAGTATGAATGTATGATAAAGTAACCAAAACAACCAATTTAATATTATTTGGTATTTTTCAGTTACAAATCGAATAGTAAAACGTTGTCTAATAAGCATAGTAAAAGTAAATTACATTAATTTATGTTTTTTACCTTATTATCATTCTTATTCACTTACCGTAAAACAAGCGGTTAGACTTACGAAGCTTAAATTTGTAAAAAATCACCCGCTCCATCATACGGAATCTACAAATTGTGTTAACCAGATATAGCAAGAACTCTATTCACATGATAATTATCATGTGACATCACGCCAACGAAATTTTAAAATATGGGAACGATCATTAAATATAAGAAAACCTATTACAGACGTCATTTTGAAAATACGACATCTTCACCTAGCCACCGCGCTTCGCGTCTTCGCACCAACAACGTTCCAGCGTCGTGATCCCATGACATCGGATGTACTATATTTTGATTAGTTTTCTGATGAATATGTGCCACACTAAATAGCTAAATATCAATTGTCTTTAGTTAAAGCATATAATTTATCATACAATCTTTGTAAAAAACCAACAATAATTGGTACCAAATAAACTGGTGAGTTATTATTTAATAAATATTTTTGTTTATTTTTCTTCCTTTATTTAACTGATCATATTTTGTCAAAATAACTTAAAATCCATAGGTTTGTTTCAAAATTATTATCATAAAACAATAATGGAGAACAATTTTCCGATAATACTTGATAATTCAGATATTAAATCAAAAGATTTACATGAAAAAATCTTGGAAAACTTAATATCAAATACCTTTCAACATTGATGGACCTTTTGGTTTAATGACAATAAATATAAATGATAAAATTAAAAATATATTTTTCTTATTGACATCATCAGTTCTCCAAGAACTTACATTTCAAAAGAAATGCTACAATCGTACAAGATGACTGTTCCTAAAACAGAAACTATAGGTGTGAAGTTAAATAAAATGAGAATCACAGCAATTATGTTTCCTGCTAATTTTAATTATAGAGATATAAATATCTTTGGTGCAGATTTTCCGTTTACATATAAAGCTCATTTATCTGCAGATTTTGAACAAAAGAATTTTAATATAAAATTTGGAATGTAAAAATAGATCATTTAAAGTTCAAATAGTAATTCTATTTTGAGCTCAATAAATTACTTTGATGAGATGATTGATAAATTATATTTTTAGCATAAAATAACTCCCAAATATTAAAAAGACATAATATTAGTGAATATATTGAAAGAGGGGAGGGGAATGTATGACAACGGGCATGGTTCACGACTGTGATCGACCGTTGAGCGATACATATTTTAATGAAGTTGAAAACTGATTTAAGTTAAAATTATAGTACACTTGGACATATATACTAACACCAAATACCAATAAATGCCATTGTCTTTAAATTTGTATAATTTTCATTAGGTGTTCGAACTTATTTTTGTTTTATTGTTTCTTTTATCCTCATTATTAACGATCGTCTTTTTTTCTTTTTTTTTAGATTTCTGCGGCGGTACTCTTATAGAAATAGAGGCTAGGTGGGTTTTCGGTTTTTTTTTATCGTTCTTTGATTTTTCGTTTCTGGTACTGATACTAATCGTACAAGACTGTTTTCAATGCTTTTAAATTATGAGTAAATTGGATTGGATTTTAAGTTATAGTCTTGGATTACATTTTTCTTTTGTGACTTATCATAATATTCTTTGAGAGGCCGGTAGTAACGTATTTTTAGACGCTATAAATGCATATTTGCGCTTGTATTTATTTACTTTTATAATATTTCATTTTATTTCAACTTTGAGAATTTATCATTTACTTTCAAAAAAATAATAATAATAATAATCACGTGCTAAATTATTTTATAAATATACTGTATACTTAGATTTAATTAATTCATTTTAAGCAATTGAACGAAAGAAACCCTATTTTTGGCCGTGCACACTTTGCATATAATTGAAGGCTGATCGTTTCTTCGTCAGCCGTTGCCAATTTCCTAATTTTATTCATACTTTTTTTTTTTTAACGTTACAAAAAAATTATGTAATTAAAATTTTCTTTGTATTGTTTATCGCAAACTCAAAATAATGAAACGATTTATTTGGTTAATCAATTTTTCTTTGTATAATGATTTGCAAAAGCCGAGTCAATAAGGCCTAAAAAAGAAGATTTTCTTTAATTACTACGCCATAACCTTAAAGGTTGAAGTTAATTGCTGCGGCGTTAATATAACTGTAAAATACTAAAATTACCCTCGCTTGTCTCAAATATTAGTTTAACGTTTACGACACTTGGTAAAAAAAAAAAATGTAATAAAATATAATGATATTTATTTTGCATTATCAAAAAACTTGTTCAAGTTGAACAATTCAATCGACGTCATATGAGTCATATGAGTCATTACCTGCAAGGATTTTAAATTCTGTATAAAAATTCGTAACACAAACTTCATTATTGGTGTTACACAAAAGCAACCATCAAACAGATCGACTTTCTCGAAATTTCTTTAAAAGGATTTAAATTCGGAGAGAGATTTCCATTCTCCTATTATAAAAAGCATTTAATGCATTTTTCTTTTTTCCTAACAAATCACCATAATTTGGTCGGTTTATTATTTTTAAAATACCTTTTATTTTCTTTAATAAGAATTTTTTGTTTGTAAAAATTTTTTCGTAACGGTGTTACATTTATACCAAACAAATAATAATAATGAAATTCAAAAAAGGACGTTTTAGTTTACATGAAAAAGTATATAATAATAATGAATTTACAATTAATGCTAAAAAAAATTTCAAAAATTGGACTAGTGGTAACAAAATAGTTGATGATTTTATAAAAAAAGCACAATTAAGAGCAAAGAATAATTTTGAACTTATCGAATGGATAGAATATGATAAGTTTTATAATATTGAATATTTAGATGAAGGAGGTTTTGGAACTATTTTTAAAGCAATTTGGAAGGATGGGTATATTGAAAGTTGGGATTTTGAGAATAATCAATGGAAAAGATGTAATAAAAATACTAAAGTTGCTTTAAAACGTTTAAATAATTCAAAGGATATAACAAATGAAGCGGATGAATTATTAAAAGAAGTAAGCTTTATTTTTTTCTTGTAATTAACGTATTTTGCTGTTAGCCAGAATTATGGCTATTTTTGGCCAGAATTATGATGATCTTGACCGGCATTAAGTGCAAAAAGGGGTGCTTATATACCGCAAAATACGGTACTACGGTATTTACGTTAAAAAAAAAAATTTTTTTTTTTTTATTTAGATTGACTTGTGTATTGTGATGAACTCAGTTTGTGTAATTCAATGTTTTGGTATTACCAAAGATCCGAAAACAAATAATTACATGATGGTAATGGAATATGCAGAAAATGGTAGTTTAAGACGATATTTAGATAAGAATTATAATTCATTAAATTGGAAAGAAAAGTTGAACATTTTATATAAGATAGCGTCTGGACTTCTTTATATTCATTATAAGGGATTAATTCATCGAGATTTTCATTGTGGTAATATATTAAGTAATTCTGATGATACAATTCGTATTGCAGATTTAGGATTATGTCGACCAGCGAATGAAAAGAATTCACAAAGTAATGATAACAAAATATATGGAGTATTACCTTATGTAGCACCAGAAGTTTTAAGAGGACGAGAATATACACAAGAAAGTGATATTTATGGATTTGGAATTATAGCAAATGAAATATGTACAGGATTACCTCCTTATCATGATATAGCTCATGATGAATTCTTAGCGACGAGAATTTGTCGAGGGTTAAGACCAAAATCTAATCATAAAATTCCTAAACTAATTTTTGACATAATTAATCAATGTTGGAATGGGGATCCTTCGAAACGACCTAAAGCAAAAGAATTACCTAAATTATTAGAAGATTTAATTGGGAGAGCTGAAATAAATAACGAATGTTTATCTTTAATTTCAACAAAATCACCAGCTACTAGTATTTTTTCGTACACAAAACATCCTCATGCAATTTATACAACTAGAATTATAAAATATTCAAAATATTCAGAATATTCAGGTAATTAAAAAAAATTTCATAAATTTTATTTTTTATTCACGAAAAAATTTCATAATTTTATTTTTATTCACAAAAAATTTAAAAATTTTTTTTTTTTTTTTTCTATTATATAATATTTTAATAATAATCAAATTATCTATAGCTTCCTTAAAAATAGATTTCGCCAATTGGACATAATTTCTTTCTTTTTTTTTTTTTTTAACATAAAATTAAATATCTACTTGGGAATAAAATTTATCGTTCAGTTATCAATTAGCATAGAAATTAAAATGATTTATAGAAAATGATGGTGGGAAGGTAATAATAATATTTTCGAAAAATTTACATATTGTAAGATTACATTTTCAAAATTATATAAAGTTTTGTATATACATAAAAAATTCAAATTTTCTTAATCAAGTCTATCTATTATACAAGTTATGAAGTTTATGAGATGTTACGAGAAGAAATTTGTTAAAAGTTCTTAATAAAAACTTTTATATATAAAGGGATTATGTGCAGGAATGAGTTATAAACATCCAAATCCAACATTATTATCATTATTATTAAAATCTTTTACTCCATTAAAAAAATGATCCTCAAAAACACTATTAACCGCTTGTGTTACGTCCAATCGAATAATTCTACTTAAAGTTTCATCACGAGCTCGTATTTTATTTAAATTGATTTTGTTGACGTCATCAGCCAAAAGTGTAAACTTGTTTTGTAACGCAGAATATGTGATCCAAATATGATCCAATGCAGATTTTACTATAAATTCATCGTGCACTTTTAATCGGATCGCCTCGGACTTTAAATATAATTTTAATAAATCTCTTCCAGTTAATAATTTGAAATTGTGAAGGGGTTGATCGATTGCGATAAGTGTCTGTGGATCATTGAGCTGTTTAAGATAATCATAATCTATTTGAGCCAAGAAGTCATCAAGAGAAACGATATATCGGAATTTTACGTACATTTTTAATAATGATTTCGTTGGATTAAATTGTAAATGTATTTTTTTTTTAAAAAAAGTTTTTACTTTTTTTTTAAAAAAATAAAAAATGAAGTAAAATTTGAGAACTAACGTTACTTTTATATAAAAATTTAGATAATACATAATTGATACAGTATTACAGTATAACCCATTCTAAATTTATTATTATTGCGGCTTTATCTCAATATCTTATCTTATTTATGATTTCGGTTTTAAAGTTAACGAATAATATATATAACCGAAGCGCAGAAAAACTTTTTATGACTCAAAAAACTCCAAATTTTTTCCGGATATTAAAATAACAACCTCTTAAAATTTCTCAAATTGACACATGTTAATTTCATTAAATTTATTACGTTAATATCCTATTACTACGGTTGTATTCTTTTAGCAATTATAGTATATCTATATGATCAATCACGACAATATATAAGTGATTTTGATAAAAGATAAAATTGATTACTTGTCCAATTATATATCATTATTTTAGAGCGTGGTTGATCAACTGTTTTTTGTGGGGAAAGAAGATCAGTTTACGTGTGGCATGACGATATGTGGCTATGTAAAAAAATTTTACCGTATTTGCCATACAAAAAATGAATTATTAATTCTTTTACATTCAAGAATTACACGTTTTTCAGCATAAAAAACAAATATGTCGTTACATAATTATTTGTTAGCTCTATTTATAAATGATTTACGAAAAATGTTTTTTTTTGTTTATTAAAATTAAAAATTTAAAAAAAATATATATATATTGTTTGACAAAAAACTTGTCGTTTCAATATAATAAATTCTTGATAAAATTTAAATGCCTTCTTAAAATTAAACCAATTTTCCCGCTTAATTTTAATTTTAATTTTATTTTTTTACGTTGATGTTCATTTCAAATATCGAATGTATAAAAAATCCAAATTAAAATAAAGTTTGTTTTTTTTTCTAATATTCTATTGTAATACACAATTATATCAAGTTATTTTGGGAAAACAGCGGTACATTTCAACAAAAAATTCCATATCTGTAAAAAGTAAAACAATGAAATTTTTCGCAGTGAACCAAAATTCATTGATAATTTTTAAAATGATAGGGATATCCGAGATAACTTTCATCAATTATTACGTTATCTTTATGAAATCATCAACGTGGATCGCTGTCCAATTAAAATTTCACGTGCTGCGTATAGATGATTATATAAACATTTATTGACGTTTATTGTTTTAAACGGAAAAAGTTTCATAAAAATAATTAAAAATTCATTAAAATAAATAAATAAAATCAATGATCGAAATTATTTTTTTTTGTTTTATCATTTCATGATATCATCTTGTAATAAAATCAATCAAACATAAATTATTTTTATCAGTTTTATAAAATTTATAAAACGAAAAAAAAATTAATTTAAATTTTTGATAATCGCTCAAAATCAATAATAAAAATCGTAACTAAATAATAATACATTTTTCATTCATTAAAATCAAAATTATATTTGTACTTTATCTCTGTTAGGCAATTCTCTATAAAGAAGGATATCATTGAATTCTACTTTTGAAATTTGAATAATACAAATTTTTATAGAATTTTCCAATTTATCCAATTTATGCAAAAATGTACTCGTAAGGCGAAAAAGTGATCAACAACAAAGTAAAATTACTCTTTTTCAGAAAAGGTCCCGTTCTTTAATCTTGGGGCTTCATTGTACAAATGAATGCATCAAATATATGTGTATCACCAATTTATAAAACGTCCTTGTTGTACGACCAAGTTCCATGACCTTAAATGCAGTTCCAGTGACCCATTGACCCGGTTACTAATAAACTCTATCCAATGAAATAAGCACACTATGTTATTTTATTTTATCGTTGGATGATTTACACTTTGCGATAAGCGTTTGTTTATTAAATATTTTAAACAATTAAAAATTCAATGTAAAGTTTTTCCGCATATTTTTTCTTTTTATCAAAGAAACCATTCTACAGATAATAGGAAATTCCGCTTATTAATTTATTAAATGTGGCTGATAATAATTTATTATGATTAAATGATAAACTCATGTTTTTAAACGATATCAAAATGTTTTATGATGATATAATAAACACTTTTTCATATAAAATTTACAAAATATTATTCGTTACATAACAAAATTATAAATTTTATTACGGAAAATTCAGTTAATTACATAAAGTTACGTAAAGTATTACATATTATTATTTACATTGTAATAGTCAACAATAATTTCTTCTTGCCATATTCTTTAAAAAAAATTTATCTGATAACGACATTATTAAATTTACCTTTAAATAATTATTTTATACCAGTCTTTATATGTGATTCTCCAGTAATTCAAAAAAATAAATGTATATGGCACAAGTTTATAACAGGATAACGTACTTACGTACGTAAAATTATTGTATTCGCATAAAATTATTTTTGTATTTTCGTCTCATCAATAACATTATAATTAATATCGGTATTATTTAATATTTTTAAAACTTTAAATCGTTCATTTTTTGAGATAATTAAATTCAAATCGTATTCCCTATAAAAAAATTTTTACAAAATTGATCACATGCCTGAATTTTTTTTTTTGGAAATTGGAATTCAAACTTGAAAAATGCAAATTTTTCCCAGAAAATATTTTATAGGAATTGACTTGGAAGTACAAGTCGTACCAGCTAAACCGGGTTGTGAAATTTGATGTATGATGTACCAATGGTTCAGTTCAAACTATCTACGAATCCTAATGAACTGATAATTTAACAGTTCAGCTCAAGTCAAATCGAACCATGAAGATCAATAATAATTTATTATATCAAAAAATATTATTATATAAATAGCTATAACCTGTTGTGTTGCAACGTAAAGTTTTTATTTATTTATAATTTGGATTATAATGTGAGTGAAAAATAAAAATTTTTAAATTAAATTATAATATTAAATTAATAATAAAGAACAATATTAAAATAAATATTATTTATACTAATTATTTAAAGAAATTGTATAATTTAAACAATTATTAATTCTATTTCGGATATCATATTTATTCTAACTAAAAATCATGTAAAATATATTTATTCAAAAACAAATATTTATTTCGATTACATCGCAGCGCTGGTCCAATCCAAACTTAAAAAGGCAAAGGAACAACAAAAATTAGGGAAAAAGGAAAATATTAATAAAAAATAATAAATAATCAGGAAAAAAAAATATTATTAAAAAAAAAGGTGCTAACCGCAACAGTATTCTGATCCAAACCTAAAAGGTGAAAGAACAAAAAAAAAAAATAAATTTGAAAAAAATAATTCGGGTTTAAAAAAACCGAAAAAATTTTTTTTTTTTAGAATCAACGTGCAGCTGATTGCATCGTCCCAAGAGAATGATCCAGTAATATGATTTTTTATAAACTAAATTTTTTTTCGATTAAAATTTTATTAACCAGAACTGAATTAGCCACAATAAACTTTACGAATCGAACTATAATAAACACAGGCGCAGTCATATCACGGATTTCTATGTTACACAATTCAAATTGTAATCTAAATATTACCAAATTGTTTTAATTGTACAGATACTAAAAATGTTTTTTGCATTAAATATTATTATAATCATTAAAAAACGATTCCAGATTATGTTTTTAGATCTTTTCTTTTATATAAATTGTTTTAAAGAAATACCGGGTATATGTTTTATTATTAGGCCACACAAATTCAATTTTTCGGTTCACGTAACATTGAAATTTAAAATTGACCCGGGGACCCGGGGTTTATTGTTTATTAATAAAAAAAGTTTATATATAAAATCGTGACATCTGATTGGTTTACTTTTAAAGGGGAGGGTAATTAAAGAATTTATTTTCGCTCCAGAAGTTCTCAGCCACGTGATAAACTTACCCGCCAATAAAATTGCTTATTGATCACGTGATAAACTTTTTATATGTAAAATTTTTTTTATTGAAATTTGAAAGTGACCCGGGGTCCACCCATGTTTCGTTTATTTTACCAGAGTGGCGCCGTCCTCGGGCGGTTTGATTATAGCATAGTATTAGATAGCGTTTGACTTTTGTTTTATCTTTTGTTCTTGTCTATCTTTCTGTAATCTAGTTCACGTGAATTTAAAAATAAAAATAAAAATAAATGAAAGTGACCCGGGGTGAAGTGAACCGAAAAATCAAATTTGTGTGGCCTTATAATATAGTTGTTGGAACCGTCAATTGTCCAATTAACATTAACCGATTCCAAGCTCTATTATAATATAAAGCTAATTTTATTAGTTTTTTTTTCTAATAAGCAAAAAATTTCAATTAGCCCTGTAAAAAAAATTGATCCGTTTTTTAGGTTTTTTATATTACAGCTTTTTTCCGTATTTCCATAAAATTTTTTATAGGTAACTATTTTAATTTAATTGGCAACGTTTAACTCAACAAATAAAAATGTTTCATATATTTACAAAATCACGACGATTCAATTCAGTATAAATTACATGTTTTATAATTCCGACATTTTTATTTGGTATTTACTTATGACTGTATATATAGATGTCATTAGAAGATTGACTCAGAATTTATTGTAAACAAGAATTTTTAATCAAATCTTCGCTTGATGTCAATTTCCGCATTGTAATTAATTATGTTATCGCTGTTAAATACAGTTAAAAAAACATCACGACAAACAAAATAAATAATATACCTAGAGCTTTCTCTTTGTGTAAATGTTTTTAAACAATATTTTTATTTTATAATGTATCGAATTTTAAAAATTTTGCCCTTCTATTAAATATTAATTATATATAATTGAAAATTGAAAGTTTTTAATTACTGCTGATAGAATAAAAAAAAAAAGAAAAAAAATAGTGTGACATGCACATTTACGAAAAAATGAACATCGTAATACATTACCTCCACAGTTTAGAGAAATATTGTACACGCTAAAAATTTAAAATTAATTATTTTTATTAAACCCAAAGTTGTACCCAGAAATACAAAAGAAGCCACAACTCATAACATAGGAGAAACTATAAAATAAGATGAGATCTTTAGTATTGTTTAAAAAAAGAATACTAATTTATTATTCTATGATAGAAGCCAGGCAATATAAACTAACTTACCAGTTTTTCCCTCATAGTTCCTTGCTTCGCTACTAGTCCTCGACTAAAAAAAAAAATAATAATAAAATAATAAAATAAGGAAGCCCAAAATAATGTAATACGGCGGAAATAAATTAACAATGTCAATATTATTTGGGGCTACCGTTCCCATAGATCCATAGTTCTCAATCTTCGTTTTATTTTCCATTAAACACTGTTGCAGTTCAGCATTATCATCATCGAACTGGTAGGTGTCTTGTTAGATCTGGATTCATATATTGTATGAAAACGAAGTTAACCTTTACCTGGTGAGAATTGTTGGATGCTTTTGATTTCATTGTAATGTCATAATGTCATATTTCGCTAGCACTTCCTTCAAACTGCAGTACGATGAAATGCTCTTCTTTTGTTCCTTACACTCCTTAGCGAATTTTATAAGACAAACCGCATCTTCCAAGATCCTCCCGCCGAGACATCATAACCTGGGGTACTGTGACTTTTTTTTTCCAAAATATTAGTCTGTTCCTTTAAAAATTCGATGAGTCTCGGCATCATATTTTTTATTTCTATGAGAGTCTCATTTTCCTTTGACCATAGTAAAAATTTATTATTAAACAAAAAATGTCCGCTTTTAGAGTATGCTGCGTATGAGGATAGAATAATTACCTTTAGAGTAGTAGCCTGTCTGCACCTCTACACGTGATTCCACACTGTAAATGTTAAAGATTCCTGACGGCATGTAACCTCCTAACAACAAAACCCAGGAATATAATGATTAATTTTAATTATTAAACTCTTTTTTTATCGAAACATCAGGATACAATGTACAGTTATTGTACTTCGTTACGTTTGGAATTTAGTTAGGATTTAATTATCACAATGTATTACAGTGTATTGCACTTTCCATTGCTTCAATTTACCGCTTATTATAAGGACAGAATTTTGTCTCAAAAAAAATTATTTACCACATTATATAATACATTATGCATTTTTGTGCGGGTGTACAGGAAAAAAAAGCAAATTTATGCTAAATATTATTTATATTTTGATGCTTTCACATTTTACACTTTCATTCTTCTGTTTTAAGATCTTTTATATAATAGTTAAAGAAATTTTTATTTGTAAATAAACATTTTGCACGTTTTTTTAGTCTATATGAAGTTTCATAAGGAATTGAGGATTTTTTTTACGGTTACTTTCAAAATAAACAAACAAAACCATTATAAACAAACAAAATTTTATAAACAAAAAAATTAAAAAATCTACGAGATCCAGCCTCAATTTTTTATTTATTTTATAAATACACTGAAAAAAACGTAAAATACGAGTACTTTCAGAGATTCAAAAACAGGAACAAATAATGAGAAATTGAAAATATAATGTACTTTTTATAGTGTTAATGTCCTTCACCACGACAACTTTGTCCTTCATGCCTTTTTCCAATGTCCCCAATGCTCCCACAATCTTCATCTCTTTTTTCAATAGTTCTTATAGGAGCTGCTTGGGAAATAGCAACAAGTAACAAGAGGATTGCGAGAAGCAAATTTAATTTCATGATGTTTAAGGAAGAAGGAAGTAATTTATGGTATGGGATTAAGGGAGAAGGAAGTATTTTATGATATGGGATTAAGGAGAAGGAAGTGATTTATGGTATGGGATTAAAGAAGAAGGAAGTGTTTTATGATATGGGATTAAGGGAGAAGGAAGTGATTTATGGTATGGGATTAAAGGAGAAGGAAGTGTTTTATGGTTTGGGATTTTGAAAGTTGTTGTGAATGAAGATGAAAATGCGATAAAAATCCGAGAATATTTATATTGTCGAATTGAGCGATCTAATGATAATTGCGATAATTAGTACGTAATAGTCTACTTCAGAATTGGTCACTATCTGCGATTAAAGTACGATTTTGAGATGATTTCTGATCGATCGTGATGATCAAACTTAAGTTTTTGGTGGTTCGAAGTAGACTAGTTATTGATTTGCCATAATCAGATATTTCCGATAATTAATTTTATTTGATTAATTGATTTTTAATTATTGTTCTATTAGGAACGGCAAATAAATAAATTGATTAGATTATCATATACAGCATCTCTCTTAAGCAAATATTGAAATTGCAGGCAAATTCACCTATTACTTAATCTTGTATATATGCTATATATGCAAACTTTTACTAATAAACCCTTATTTTTTTATTTTTGTAGATAAATACATTATTTTTTTATTTTTTAATAGTTTAATATCTTTGAATGCATATTTTTTACATCAATGAAATTAAATTTCGTATTATTCTTTAAAAATTCAAATGTGACACAAATGTTAAAAATTTACTTATTCTATAAGATTTAGGTCAATTTTGACTTTTATGGGTAGTATGTAAAAAATATGATCTGCACCCTGAAATTTTTGTGACGCATAAAGGGCAGACAAAATTAGCTGGCCGAGAAAATACAGGTTTCGGTCACAAATTTTGTTTAGTTTGATTGGACCTTCTGTAAAAACTCCGTAAAAATGAGCCTTTCCGGATCCATACACCGGAAAATGTAAATATCTTCCGGAAATATGAGCCTTTTACGGAAAAAAGATGGAATATAAGAAATGGATCGACATTTTTTACAGGAGGACCCACCGTAACACCGTTTCGTTTTGTAGTGACACGGGTTAGTGATCTGATAATCTTTTTTTATTGCATAAATTACATGTTATTTTTCGTGTAACATTTAATGCGGGTAATAAATATTAATAACTTTTATGGTTACAGCAAAATAAGAAATATATGGAAAATTTTGATTGTCGGGATTGTCGGATACTTGGGCTACTCGGCTAGACGAGTTATTAGAAAAGATAAATAACACGTGACACACATATATTTGTATGAATATAATAAATCGCGTAGTATAAACTATAAAGTATAATAGAGTATAATTGTTTCCATGTTACCAAATGTAAAATTTTATTGTTGCCGCTTGCGCTACAACTTGCTTTGTGTCTTTGGTTGAAAATATTTTTTTTTCAACATCTATTATTTATCATATCCACGAGTTAATGACGTATTTTTATGCATTCCTTATTAAATTGCACTAATCAGCTTTCGAATAATTTTTTTAATTAAAATGGAATTCACGAGGACCCAGAAATATATATATAGGGGTCAGGTGATGAAAAAAAATTTTTACTATGAGCTGTACGCATTTTTTCAGGGCCGGAATTATGATAAAGCCAGTCGGTTACTATATTAAGAAATAAAATTCTGACTGGAACTATCAAAAATTATCTAAAAAAGGAAAGATTTTCATGATTTTCTAGTTCAAAATACGCAAACTCAAACATATATTTTTCTGGGTCCTAATTCACGACCAAAACTTAATACGAAACAAACACACAAATGATCAGCAATCATGTGACATAACCAATCAAAATTCATAATAGAATCGGACGCGTTAGTAAAAATTTTTATTATAAGTATTATATTTTTACTTAGAAAATAATAATAAAATGGATATTTCAAACCAAAATTTAGATACAACTAAACCTGATGTTAAAAGTTTATGGATAGATCGCAGAGATGGTGAATATCAGGTAAAAATATTATAACATAATAAACAATATAAATTTTTATTAAAAATTTTTAACTATTTATTTTGATAGGTCCACGCTACAATTTTTTCAACTGATGCAACTACTGAATCAGATGAAACTATTTCCTTTCTTAAAAAAGTAAATATTATGGATTTAGAAAAAAGAAAAGAAGTATACGGAGTATGTGGAGAGTGTAATGAACCAGGTACAGGATGGCGTTGGTGTCAACCTTGTAATGCTAAAAGATTTAAGGAAAATTTTAAAAATTGGACTAGTGGAAATAAAAATATTGATGAATTGATACAACAATCACAACTTAATGCTTTTTTTTGCACAAAATGTCTTGAATGGATACCTTTTGAAAAATTTGAAAATGTTACTTATCTTACCAGAGGAGGTTTTAGTAAAATTTATTCGGCTGACCGGCTTGAAGGAAATGCTGAATATTGGGATATAGAAAATCAAAAATGGGTCCATGAATCGAATGTAAAAGTTGCATTAAAAAGGTTAGATAATTCATCTAATATAAGTGATGATTTTATAAATGAGGTAATTAAAATAAATCTTGCTTATTAATATTTGTTATTAATAAAATTTCTCTTTTTAATGATTTTTAGATTAAATATTATATTTCAAGCCATTTTCATGCTAGTAATACTGTTATGTGTTTTGGAATAACTCGAGACCCAAATACTAAAGATTATATGATGGTTTTACAATATTTTGGGGGAGGAAATTTGAGAAAGTCTTTAGTGGAAGGTTTAAAATTTAGAACTAAAATGAAATATTTATTTTGTATTATAGATGGACTTTCAGGTATTCATGATGCTGGAAATATTCATAAAGATTTTCATTCGGGCAATATATTATATAATAATCATGATGATATACTATCAATTAGTGATTTGGGAATGTGTAAACCAGTAAATGATAATGAACAAAAAGGAATTTATGGAGTAATGCCTTATATGACACCTGAAGTTTTTCGTGGATATCAATATACAAAAGCAGCAGATATTTACTCATTTGGAATAATAATGAATGAACTTATGTCAGAAGAAATTCCTTATAATGATATTCCTCATAATCATTGCTTGGTTGTTAAAATATGTAAAGGATTTAGACCAAAAATTTCTGAAGATACACCAAAATTAATTGTAGATTTGATTATTAAATGTTGGGATGCTAAAGCAGAAAATAGACCAACTGCTAAAGAATTATGCCAAACAATTGTTAAATATGGAACAGAAACGGATGATGAAAATAGTGAATTTAGTTATCAAATAAAAGAATGTGAAAAAATTAAAGAGAATAAATTAAAAAACAGAACAAATGAAAATAAATCTAAAGATCTTCAAACACATCCACAAGCAATTTATACTAGCAGACTTTTAAATTTTGAAAATCTTCCTGAACCAGTTAATTCAACCGGTTAATATATGTTTAAAAAATTAATATGAAAATATAATTTATTGATTTTTATTTTTTTAATAGAAACTATTTCATCATCATCATCAAATCCAAGTAAGTATATATTTGCATTATTAAAGATTATTGTGATTATTATAATAATGTTTATTTTCATTTTATTAGTAGTTTCTGAATGTTTGGATTGTGAATTAAATGAATCAGGTAAGACATCTGTTTTTTTAAATATATGAAATTATTAATTTAATTTAATTATTATTTTTATTTTTTTAAAATAGATCTCAATCAAGACAATGTTGAATAAATTTAAAGGAGAAAATTTATTATTGCCCATAGCGATGCATCAGTTGCATCACCTCTGGGCAAAATTACGTAATGCCAATAGAGGAGCGTCACGGGTGACAAAAGGTAACGATGACATCGCACGTGTGATGAATAAATTATTTCAATTTTAAATTAGTATATTATTATTCAAAAAATTTTAGTAGTTTCTTTTTATTATATATTATTCCATTTTCTTACATAAATTCTTTTTGATTTCAGTACTTATATTATTATATTAATTTAGTAAATTTCTTTATAAATTTTTTATTTTTATTATACAATGTGGCGACGTGACTTTATTTGATCAAAGAAAATAAAATTTAAGCTATAAAATAAATACATCATCATGTTGTATACTATTTTATTCTCTAAAACTTTTTATTTGTCTATATTATTTTAATTTTCTTTGACCAAAATTTTTAAATTTTAAATTCGTATTGTATATACTTAACAGTAATTGTGCGACAAATTTGACAGATTGGCATGATTTAAATGATTGATTATTGGCGAGATAGAAAATTACGTGACTCCAAAACTTTAGAACAGTCGATACTTTATACAAAAAAAAAAATATCTCGATCTTTAATTTCCTATTATTTTTTTTCAGCTAAATCAAGTTTTACCGGAATATGAGATTTTATTACCACCACTTTTCTTCGCATTTTCGTGATAGTAACAAAATAATTTATAATTTGGAGTGTAAACATAATGTAGAACGAAAATATATGCATATTTAAGGTGTATACTTTATTTAGAATAAACAATAACAATATATAGCAACAAATGTGTATAATAAATTCTAATAAACAACTAATGAATAAAGAAATAAAATCATAAAATAAATGAAAAATATTGCTGCCCTTCACCGGAGACTAAAAAACAAAACTAAGAATCTCCTTCGATCTCCCTTCTATATATACTACTTCTTCGATTCGTGTAAGCCTTGGTATAAGCTATACTTTGTATGTTCTTACAAAAATTACCGTATTTTGCGGGCCACAGTACTCCCCCTGTGCACAGTACCCTACAAAAAAGAACTCCCATTTTCTACCGATTTTATTATTTAAAATAATTTAATAAATACCTAGGTATTACTCATGATAAATACCCAATTATTATATAAGTTTTATACATATCTAATAATAAAAACTCACGCAATGGTGGGGGGTATAAGGCCAAAACCTCTGAAATCTGTATCATACCCGAGGTACTGTGGCCCCCGTTATACGGTAAGTTATACTAAATTATACGAGGTATATAACTTACACTTCGCATTGTAATATTTAGTATTAATTGAAGGAAATTTCTAAAGGCAAAAAGTGAAATTTTGACTGTTTTGAAAAATATTATTGAAAAAATGGTAAAATAGGATAAATTTTATTTTTCACATTAGTATTTGGTTTTATAAATAATATAATATGAACTTAATGTCGGAAATTTTT